ACATCTGTCAGAGACGGTATGACAGCTACCAATACAGACAGAACTATCTACATATTGCACCTATGCTATCTGTACAGATAACGTTTAGAAAGAAGACATTGTTGCCATTGTATCAAATGTGTGAAAATATTGTCATACCATACACATGTTAAAAGGTATGCGGCTTCAAAATAGTAATTTCTATGTACATTCCATGAATCTAATGACATTCAATAAAAGTGAATGAGTTGGGTTTTACACATCCTTTAGCAATATTCCAGCAATGTCTTGGCGGGGAAACTTGAAATGTGCTTCACACAATCTACCCATGTCAGGAATCGAACCGAAGTCTTTGGCGTGGCGAGTATGTGCTTTAACCACCAGGCTACCCCACCGCCGTTCAATAAAAGAAAAATCAACTATGTGATCAAATAATGTTCACCATTCCCTTCCTTGAAACAATTTCAAACTTAAAGCTTGGCTTTAATAAAACACTGGTGAGTGGTTTACAGAAATGTAAAAATCTTTTGTCAAATCAAAAACAGTAATATTGAAAACCTGTTTCTAAGTGATTTTTGAAACTAATTGTTTATTAAGTTAACAAAAAGAAGACAAACATAAAATAACTTTTCAGGGGAGTGTTAGTCGAGGGTTATTCACTTCCTATACTGACCTTTAGAGTTTTCACTACTGAGATTAGCCGGCAGTCTACTTGAAAACACAGGTGCATTTAACCTTTGTCAGAGTTAAACAAGCGAATGAGATGACTGAAGAATGCAGAGCTGGTTGGACATGGCATGATCAAACACAACATGTGACAGTCCTGATCTGAGCATCTTACATACAATGACTCTACAAGATACACACAGGGTTAATCCTTGGAACACAATGGACTATACCACTCATGCATATTCATCAGCTTTTAGAGGTCAGGGTTTTTCCTTTTCCCCTTTCTATTTTCACAAGTAAAGGGTTTTGAAAAAAAGTACCAATCTACATTTGTTAATTGTTGGCTTGGTGGATTCGAATACAAGCAAAACATCTACCTAACATTTAACTCTAAGGATATAAGTTATAACTTTCCAATAGACATGTTCTTGTTCAAGGAATCACCTACTACATATTCATAACTTTCATTTTATTATCTGATAATATCTATATTTAATCTTACATTTTTACCTTATTGTAAATAAACAAATTAGATTAACAATAGTTCATTTGTCTGATTAGTTGCATGGTAAATATAATTGTGATGACAATGATTCCCTGACAAGGAGTATTGACATTTGAGCATATCTCAGTGTTGGAATGCTTTTACTTGAATCGAGATGTTTAGACAAGGATAATGCTGGTCCTACTGTAGGCCTATATTATTATTGTATATCAATTTTGCCAAAATAAAGGCTATCATTTTAATTATTTTATTCATTATCATTGTTTAAATTCAAATATCATTATTAACTCTTTTACTTTTTTAGAATAGGTAGTTCTTCCTTTGTTTCCAGCAGATTAAAAAAATATGCCTGATGAAGAAATGATGCAGTTCTATTTTCCCAAATAGAAAAAATGTCAACTGATGCTATATATAATTGGGGGCAGGAAAATATGATACAGAATAAAAACCAAATCCTCCAACCCAATCAATGACTTGTCCGTTATCATTTCAAAGGGATGAAATTAACAAATATTTTCTTTTATTCAGTATGGATGTAAAGGTATCAGTTTAAGTCAGTTAAATAAAAAAGAAAATGAACCTCTAAATATTGTCTTGATGAGAAAGATGTGTCATAGAATGAAAACACAAAATAAGCTACTAATGCACAAACAATTTCATCACCAAGAACTGGAAACAACAGTAAGGGAAGGTTACGTTCATGCAGAAACAGTATCTGTCAAATCCTTGACTAAAGTTTTCATATATATACACTGATTAATTAACACAGCCACTAAGCATGCAGGAATTGGTCCCAATATTATCACAATCATTTAGCATTACATTACATATGTTATCAAAATGGCACAATCATCACTTTGAATGAAATATTTGAAAAAAATGTCTCTCATCATGAAACGGGCAAATTGTAAAATGAAGCTTTAATGATTTTTTTCACAGTAATCAATAATGTTTGGTTTGGCCTGGTACACAAATCCAGGTTAATATCAACTTAATGAATACAGGTTGTCCGGATTTTAACAAAGAGTTATCTTTTCCTACCTAAACTGTGCCACCATAGTTGCACGTGAGTGTTCACCCCAAACATTAAACCTGGTGAAAATTTCTGATGAGAGAATACATGTATTTATTTATTTGGGGCTAAAGGTGTCGTTGCTATGGATAAAACAGATATATATCCAATATATATCCAATCTATATATCCTTGGTTCTTTCTGATATACAGAAATGTATTCTGTATACCTAAATGTGCCTTAGGTACATATCTGTGGTAAAAGAGTTGACAACAACCCCTTCAGCCACACTGTGCAATTAAATGGATGCCCTAGTAATAAGTTGATACAATATGCAGCAATATCCGACATGTCATAACAATTATACAAACACTAATGTACATTTGCAACAATACAAAAATATAACAGCAAAAATAAAACCAGGCTCCCGAGCTGATGTAGCTGGCTTAAGACATAAGAGCACTGTTGTTTGGAACCCTGACGGTGATTTGATTGTAAACACACATATCACTGATTGACACTAATCAGCAATGAAAAAAACCTTTTTATGATATTACTACAGTACAGCTGAAGGGGTCGTTGTAAGCAGAGGTACTACAGATACGTACCCCAGGTACGTTTCTGTATACAGATATGTACCCTAAACAAAGTCAAAATACAGAAACGTACCCGGTACCCTAAAAGGCGGACGAGTCCGTATTCCGTGATCCAAAACTAAAACCGTACATAGTTGTTCCCGAGTGGTTTTCATGTGCATCGCGAAATATCCGTTACTGTGTATTCTCATTACTTACATAACGCACTCAAATGTATCTAATACAACAGTATGACAGTTCCGGTCAAGAATACGACACAATGGGAATGGAATCGTCCTAGGGTACGTTTCTGTATTCTCATTATGGCCAGGGTACATATCTGTAGTACCCGTGCCGACAACGACCCCTTCAGCTACAGTACATGTACACATATCAACAAACTTGACAACTAACCACTGTCTGTGAAACAATCAATTCCACAGGTATAATTAACACAATTCAACCTCACCGAAATACTGTCCTTAAACCTAAACCTACATCAGGATTTCATTCACAATAGCCCACATTCATCGTGGTATCTGGTTAAGTGTGGTTGAACCTGGAGCCAGCAAACCATCAGTCGATGGTGTGAACACAGGCGGAGGACGTTGCTGCATCACTATAACCTCTTGACACAGCTGATTCGTGCCATACGAGTCAGCCATTGTGGACACCCATTCAACATTCAGTAACTCTTGGGACAGTACTTTAATATACAGGTTGCTCTTTGATGTCTTCTGCTGGAATAGATAGTTTCCTTGCTCTGGAAGAGGTGTGTCAATTTGGATGATCCATCACCGCTGTCTACTCTTCTCAACAGGTTGCCATACTTCAACTGTTGTCTTTATGTCTATAACACACTATTTTCACTGCTCAGAGGCCAAGTTTGCAATAATTTCTCTCCACAAAGCATTTGTATGGCTATAACCCACCATAACTCTAAACTTTATCAGAGGCTTACAAATGGCACATTGCTACAAATGGTTTTAGGATAGGGTCTCAGATTATGGACAGTCTTGTAGGGAGCTTCAATATATGCAACTGGAATAAGTTAAGCACCATCTCTTGCTTGTTGTCCCCCACTAGCATGTATATTTGGACCTTGATAAATATATCACGCACAAGCTGAACAGATTGTACATAACATATGTTTTTCCAGATGGTCGCAGGAACCAGGTCATATGTTAGTGTGCAGAGAAACAGAGCAAGCAAATGTAAGATTAGCCAAAAAACCATTGCTATGGAACAGTTACAAAATATGTCATTTTATACTCGATTTCAGACTTTGTATGTCATTCAGAAAACATGTTTTGTCAGGAAATTACTACAAGATGCTTCACTTCTTCCAGGTATATATTAACATAGGCTATTACTCCAATCCTACAATTCTTGAAAGTATATAATTCACAGTTTGTTAATGAAGACGATTCCATGAAAATGGTTCCATCTTGATTAATATTTCTTTACAGTATATTTGTAGTTATTTGTGATAAAACATCTTCAAGTTACTTAACTGAGTGTTTGTGAGAAGTAATGTAGCACCTTTCAGTGAAATTATTTTAATAATTCACAATATAATCCAATGACTGAAATCACAACAAAAGTGCCATCTAGCCGGCTGTTGTACTGTTACACTGACTAGTAACTAGCAGAGAATAAATTAACATACATCTACTAATCAACACATTTCTGTATTGAAGGTATAAAATATTCTGTGGCACATACAAAATTAACTGAATCACAATATTTACAACATTATAGCAAGAATAGCTCCGTGATATGAGGTGATTGACATGTGGGCATCAGACATATATTTAACATCAGCGATATAGCATATATATACCAGTCATATAGAAGTTGGTGGAATAGTATGTGAATACACTGTACATGAAAGATACATAGATTATTGTACATGACAGATTATACAGTAATATGACAGGAAAAAGTATATGATATTATCAATAATAACACGAAATATGACTGACTGACTGACTGAGTTTGGTTTTACGCCGCTTTTAGCAATATTCCAGCAACATCACGGTGGGGACACCAGAACTGGGCTTCACACATTGTACCCATGTTGGGATTCGAACCCGGGTCTTCGGCGTGACGAGCCTAACGCTTTAACCGTTAGGCTACCCAACCGCCTCACGAAACATGAACAAAAGAATACATACTAAGAAATAGATTTACTTTAGACAAGCAAGAACGAAGTAACTGTCTTTCTGACTGTTTATAAGCACATAGCTCTTTTCTTTATAGGTGTAGTGTGTAGTTGTGTTTAATTTGCATGAGGGTCAACCCATAGGCATTCTACAGAATTTGAATTTTTCAAAATTGAAATTTACACAAATTAAAAATTTAACATGATTAAAAATGATTGTTGTTAAAACTGGTATCCTTAAGTAGGCTTGGTGGTCTTTTTGTGCCACAGTCATATTGACATGGACTGTAAGGAACTAAGTAGACAAACCAGAGATCGATAGTATGAGCAAGAACCCACAGTGGAAGGTATGATAACACCCAATCAGCAAGGTCACACACTATGAAGATCCAATCCGAGGAAGTCGGCCATTATGACACACATGGGGTATCTATTCTATTTGTAGTCCCCACAAGGGTTATGGCTATGGCTCGCCAAAGAAATATCAATATTCTGAAATATTAATGATATGTAAAATTGCCAAATATTATTAACATTTGTGTTGAATCATGCCTGACAGCATTGAGTATTAACTTCCTGAAAATACTACAAATTAATCCTGTAATGGCTTGAAATGGTAACCCTTAATGGGCCTCATGTAACATACCCAAAATGGGCCTCCTGTTACAAGCAGAATCCAGGGAACTATGAACGATCTGAACTAAACTATTGCACAAAACTATCATGATACACGTCTGGTAAAGCCTGTCCAACAAAACAGACCCTGAAATACAGCAAGCTTAAAGCAGAACAGACAGCTCATGTTTCACAACCAAGTTTGCAAAGACAAATGTATTTTGTAAGTTGATCCAATCTCAATAACTTTGATCTATATTTACCTTTCTGTGTCACTTCTCTGAAATTTGTGTATGAAATATCCAGAAAAACATAATGGCATATTCCATTATTCCATGTTTGTTTTGGGGATACAGAAATCAGATACATGCTGCACGGAATCATATACCTTGATGTAGACTGGCATAATAGACACTCCACCTCAACAGCTTCCTAAAAGAGGATTGTCAGATATTCATGGAGAGAATGTTGTATTGGCGTACAAGCTTGGAATTTGTTTTTCATAAATTTTCCAAGGCATAAAGAGATGCTTATTACAAATTCATAATAAATTACATGCTATGCCCTTTTAGAAATATAATTCAGAAAGACTCACAATGCCTACATTTCAAACTGTCAGAATCCAAGCCTATTAAAATATTTGGTTAAAGGCAATCAGATTGCAGGTAACCTGCTTTAATTATTTCACTTAAACTGTTTGCTCTACAATGTATGTAAATAATTATTGAATAAAAAATGATTAATAATTAGGATCCACTTGTACAAAGCGATTTTAGCACTATGATGATCGTAAGCCTATTAAAAAGTATGGGACTTACGATCACCTTAGCGTTAAGATAGCTTTGTACAAGTGGCCCCAGGTCCTATAACTGACAAATTCACAGGGTTTCCCCATGGAGACAAGGATGCAGATTTATCACAAGGGTTATACGCTCTGATGTACCCTGTGTGTTGCCGTAAACCCTCAACCGCCATGCTGGGATGTTTATATATACACTGTAATCAGATTACAGTGTTTTACATGTAGGATTCTGATTCCTGTCAGAACTGTGTGTAACCTGGGTTAAATGCTACTTAAACATTATTTCAGTCATATCACAAAGAGTTGACATGAGCCTGCTGGTATCACATAACATATATGCACACAGTGAATATTCAGGCACAAGCAGTATGGAATAAGTTTCAGGTAAAGCAGTATGTGTACATAAAACAACATATCATAACACATAATTCACAAAACATTATTCCTTATGAGCTAGGCATAGTGTGTAATTCTATTTTCTACATTAACTGAAGTAAATATAAGGAATATAATACAAATTTCAAAAACATGATATCTTATGCTGCTACCTACAGTAGAAAGAAAAATGTACTTTTTACTATGACCTGAGAATGACAGATTGCATGACATAGCAAAATCTTTAGCTGGCTTTTGACACTGATTTTGTCCCAGGAATTAAATACTACGGGTCAGCAGAGCGTCATTGGGTTGCCCCTTGTGATGATGATGTTGTGCCTTGCTGCAGCTGTTGCTGTGATGGAGCAGGAGGCTGGGCACTCCGTTTCGGGATTACAGGTTTACCTTTCCGGCCTTTCTTACTCCCTTCATCTTGGTCACTGGAAAAATAAACAATTTGAGGAATGTCAGCATGTTTAGAATAAGTGAGGTGAGGTGAAATTGGTTTTTACGTCGTGCTTGAGAATATTTCGCTCATATGACGAGGTGCATGCGTGTGTATGTGTATGTGCGGCTGCTTGTACTAGCCCAGACTTAAGCTGGTTTTATAGTGCTAGCCCACTGAGATACCATGACGCAGTGAAGTATGAATACCCCACTCAGACACATTATACTGACTTTGCGCCGACCAGTCCTTGTTGAACCCATTAATGCCGAGCGCCAGGCAGGGACCAACAAGTACCATATTTCAACGTCTTTTGGTATTACGCGGTCGGGGTTCGAACCCGCAACCTTCCTCTCTCCGGGCGGACGCTCTAACCACTACACCACGGAGGCGGTCGTTTAAAATAAGTGCTAAACAAACTAGGAACAAGAAGACAGCATTATCACTATCACCTGCTATGGGTCAGAGACCCAGCTCAATTACCTACTGTCTGCCTACCGGTGTTGGACCAATTGAACGACCATAGGATTTATTCAACTGATACAATGACTTACCAACATGAAATACTTACATTTTGATATTTTTCAAAATAAATTGAACTTCAAAATACTTTAACAAACCACATGAATAAAATTTTAATTTTTTTGGTGTTTTCCATGATCATTATTCATTTTCCAGTCAATACCTAAAAATTCCATCATTTTTCCATGATTATGACAATTATTTCAATTTTCCATGACTTTTCCAGAAACCCCAAAATTCAATGAGTTTTCCAGGCCTGTGCGAACCCTGGTCACATTAAAATGTTATTTGTTCATATACATTATAAAGCAGCAAATAAGATATAAGACAATATAAACCGTAAAACATGTATCTCTAATAAGCATGCAACCTATCATGTAGCTTCTCAGGAGTGAGTGAGTGAGTTTGGTTTTACACCGCTTTTAGCAATATTCAAGTAATATCACAGCGGGGACACCAGAAGTGGGCTTCACATATTATACGCTTGTGGGGAATTCAAACCGGGTCTTCGGTGTGACAAGCAAGTGCTTAACCACTAGGCTACCCCAGCACCCTTCTCAGGAGGACTAGACACAGAATCTCAAAATGAGTTACAGTGGATTTAACTCTTGAAAATATAATTTATGGCACTAATTTAAACTGTCTTGATAACTATCTCTAATGAAAGCTCACAAATCTGTTCCAATTGCACACACTGAACAGTAAGTAAAATATCATAGATCAAGGTGTAAATAAATTATTGCACAAATTTTCAAAATCAGTCTAAATAAGTCTCTTAGACAAGCATGCAAGCTGTAATTCATATAACTTTATAAGTTGTTTCTGAGAAAACGTGTCCCCATTTCATGCAGTAAGTGGCTCTATGTAAAAAGGCAAGGAGCAAGGGCCTTAACTCTCTAAAAAATGAATTCACTACAATTTTGGAATACTTCGGTTTCAGAAAATACAACTGTTAGTAACTATTTTGGTATAAAATCCAAGACACTCCTTACTTGAAGAATGGTAGGATGGTCATTAAACTTTCTTTTGTGACGTTTGCAACAAATTGTTCATTCTTCTCCATGAGTAGGTTGATTACTTGACGAAGGTACTTCTGGAGTGACAGACGACGAACCTCCACCACCTTGGCATCCTGAAAATATATTGGACACGCCTGGGTCAACACAAGTAGGACATGTCTGGGTCAACACAAGTAGGACACACCTGAGTCAACACAAGTAGGACATACCTGGGTCAACACAAGTAGGACATACCTGGGTCAACACAAGTAGGACATACCTGGGTCAACACAAGTAGGACATACCTGGGTCAACACAAGTAGGACATACCTGGGTCAACACAAGTAGGACCTGGGTCAACACAAGTAGGACACCTGGGTCAACACAAGTAGGACATACCTGGGTCAACACAAGTAGGACATGGGTCAACACAAGTAGGACATACCTGGGTCAACACAAGTAGGACATACCTGGGTCAACACAAGTAGGACATACCTGGGTCAACACAAGTAGGACATACCTGGGTCAACACAAGTAGGACATACCTGGGTCAACACAAGTAGGACATACCTGGGTCAACACAAGTAGGACATACCTGGGTCAACACAAGTAGGACATACCTGGGTCAACACAAGTAGGACATACCTGGGTCAACACAAGTAGGACATACCTGGGTCAACACAAGTAGGACATACCTGAGTCAACACACAAGTAGGACATACCTGTAGGACATACCCAACACAAGTAGGACATACCTGGGTCAACACAAGTAGGACATACCTGGGTCAACACAAGTAGGACATACCTGGGTCAACACAAGTAGGACATACCTGGGTCAACACAAGTAGGACATACCTGAGTCAACACAAGTAGGACATACCTGGGTCAACACAAGTAGGACATACCACAAGTAGGACATAACACAAGTAGTAGGACATACCTGGGTCAACACAAGTAGGACATACCTGGGTCAACACAAGTAGGACATACCTGGGTCAACACAAGTAGGACATGGGTCAACCTGGGACATACCTGGGTCAACACAAGTAGGACATACCTGGGTCAACACAAGTAGGACATACCTGGGTCAACACAAGTAGGACATGCCTGGTCAACACAAGTAGGACATACCTGGGTCAACACAAGTAGGACATATCTGGGTCAACACAAGTAGGACATGCCTGAGTCAACACAAGTAGGACATACCTGGGTCAACACAAGTAGGACATACCTGGGTCAACACAAGTAGGACATGCCTGGGTCAACACAAGTAGGACATGCCTGGGTCAACACAAGTAGGACATACCTGGGTCAACACAAGTAGGACATACCTGGGTCAGTAGGACACACAAGTAGGACATGCCTGGGTCAACACAAGTAGGACACACCTGAGTCAACACAAGTAGGACATACCTGGGTCAACACAAGTAGGACATACCTGGGTCAACACAAGTAGGACATACCTGGGTCAACACAAGTAGGACATGCCTGGGTCAACACAAGTAGGACATACCTGGGTCAACACAAGTAGGACACCTGAGTCAACACAAGTAGGACATACCTGGGTCAACACAAGTAGGACATGCCTGGAGTCAACACAAGTAGGACATGCCTGGGTCAACACAAGTAGGTCAACACAAGTAGGACATGCCTGGGTCAACACAAGTAGGACATGCCTGGGTCAACACAAGTAGGACATGCCTGGGTCAACACAAGTAGGACATACCTGGGTCAACACAAGTAGGACATACCTGGGTCAACACAAGTAGGACATACCTGGGTCAACACAAGTAGGACATACCTGGGTCAACACAAGTAGGACATGCCTGGGTCAACACAAGTAGGACATGCCTGGGTCAACACAAGTAGGACATGCCTGGGTCAACACAAGTAGCAGGACATACCTGGGTCAACACAAGTAGGACACACCTGGGTCAACACAAGTAGGACATGCCTGGGTCAACACAAGTAGGACATGCCTGGGTCAACACAAATAGGACATGCCTGGGTCAACACAAGTAGGACATAAGTACGATATGGTGTAGGGTGTAGGGATAGAGTGCAGTGTCTTGAACATTTGAACAAGCATACTTTTCGTTAAATGGGACAGGTAGTTTGCTTCAGCATACAACTGAGAACCATCCTTTGAGATGAAAATGACACACATAATGTTGTGGAAAAAAGACTCCTCACCTTGCTGCCAATTGTTTTCTTGGGTGGGAATTCATATTTGCTGACCATCGGGTAAAGTTTTTTTAACTTGACATGTAGATCATGAAACTGGCTATATCGGCGGTAGACATTCCATTCTTCATCTCGTATCCGGACAAAAACCTGAGCAACAAATCATAAACACACTAAATGTTTGATAAAATCTGTATATTAACTGCTGCATATTAATCATTTTCAAATTTCATATATATGATGCCACAGTTAATTAAGTGTTCATGTGAGAAGTCTGTATCTTCTGTCTGTGTCTGTAGTTACGTCTGAAATCTGTGTCTTGGGTCTGTCTGGAGTGTGTCTCTGTGTTTTCAGTCTGTATCTTGAACTTCTGTCTGGAATCTGTGGTATATGTTTTGGAGCCTAAGTATGAAACCCATCCTAAGTCTGGGGTTTGTGTCTGAAGTCTTATGTCTGGGTCTGGAGAGTATGTGAAGAGCCTGTGTCTTATGTCTGGGTCTGGAGTGTATGTGAAGAGCCTGTGTCTTATGTCTGGGTCTGGAGTGTATGTGAAGAGCGTGTGTCTTATGTCTGGGTCTGGAGTGTATGTGAAGAGCCTGTGTCTTGTGTCTGTGTCTGGATTGTATGTGAAGAGCCTGTGTCTTGTGTCTGTGTCTGAAATCTGTTTGGAGTCTGTGCCCATTGTCTGTCTGAAGTCAGTTCCATGTCTTTCCATCTGGAGTCTGTCTGACATTTTCTGGAGTGCATGTGAGTGTGTCTAATGTTCATGTCTAGGTGTCTGTGTCTGAAGTCTGTGTCTGAGGTCTGTGGTTGACACTAACCTGGTACACATGGTGTGAGTCGGTGGCAGTTCCTCTGATAAAGGCTGAAGGGATCCAAATGTTCACCAGGGTCCGAGGCAAAGCAAGGCTGGAAATGAGAAAAACACACCAAACAGTCAGACAAGGAAGAGTATACAGATAACTAGTACTTCAAATTAGTGGTGGTCCGATTAGTTGAAATAATCGAAGATTGGTCACAATGACTAAACGACCAAGCAATCGATCATGTTTTCTCATAATCGAACACAAACAATTTTGGAACACATGTTTGCATTAACAACATTTTTCACAAGGTTGGTTTTCGTTACATTTCATAAGCACTACAAGCTCGTTCCTTGTCATGATTGAATTTATCTTAAACACTCCAGGAAATTTATGTTCCTAACATACTAGTCATCCTTTAAAGATGTGACATTTGGAAGTGCATTTTGTGCAATTTGCAAAGAAAAAACCCTGAAAGAACTACATATTTTTTCTATATTTTTGGTGCATTAACAAACATAACCAACAAAATTTGATAAATGACGCTAACCAATTATTTTCGATGATTGATCGGTTGTAATGAACCAATCATCAATTGTGAGATTATAACCAATTCCCAACACTACTTCAAAATATATAAACACTTCTTTATCATCATTTCAATATGACTGTTCCTTGCTATAATACAAAGACCAACATGACAAAACATACACATCTGCTTCCCCTGGTATGGAGTCTTCGATGGAAGCCTGGGCATCATATGGCAGCTGAAACAAGAGAGAGAGTGTATCAGCTACAAGTACGGCTGACACTGTAATCACCGGACTCTCATTGGTAAGGGTACCCAGTTGTCTTTGACACCATGTTTAGTTCTGCAGTGTTGTGCCCTGTGTATTGCAGGAACATCTGAACATGGTTTTGATTCGTCGATTTGCCCCGATTGTGTTTCTAGGTCTGTCAGTATGATAGCCATGCTTGCTGGTCTCACCAAAGTCATAAAAGTTGAAGACCCGGATCAAGTCCGGCTTTCCTGGTACACCTACAGAAGACCGGGTACCTACCAGCCATATTGTTTAGTGTCACGTCACCCTAACCCTAACCCTTACGCTAACCCTAAACCTAACCCTAAGTAAACTCACGTGCTTTCAAAGATGGCGGGAGGTATCCAGTATTCTGCAGTCTTATTGCTTTCCTTTCACATCAAGATGAGATGCAAGATACAACTAAAATACTGTTCAGTACTCATCTCACACATCTGATGAGTGCTGAATCTCTTGGGTGACCCGCTCTTCATAGTAATATCCCCAAGAAGAGGAGCAATATGGCTGTAGACTGGAACTAACTTTCATACTCCACATAGACTGACCAGTGGTCAAAGGAACTGCATCATGCTATACTAAGTTGGGTCCCTTGGCTGCACCAGGATCTGCTACTCCAGATCCCAGATTTCCATCATCAAGATCTTTATACAAATCAAAACTTCTGTCCATGAGTTTCACTAATATCATCAAGATGATAAATGCCATTCAGACTGTCTTCCCGTATTAAGATGACATGATACAACAGAAAAACTGGTCACAGTGGGGTTAGACTTATCTAACTTATATAGGCACTTTTGTGTTGTACAAAAACATGATTCCCATATAACAAATAGTTAAAACATGACGATATAACATTTATAACAGTTTTATATAACATGTATAACAGTTATAGCACTGTAATCCAGATATAAGTGCAGCAAGTGCAGCACCAGTTATATATTAAGGTTACAACATGGTTGTAACACATGGCTAAAACCATGGCCATAGATGCCCATAAACACATTTATACATTACATTTAAAACACTGAGTTAAGTCATAGTCATAATCCAGTTATATATTCTATATAGACATATTAATAACAGTTACACCCTACATTTATAAGAAAGTTATAACATGGCTTCAACCTAGTTATATGTACAGTTTGGAAAATAATAACAATCATGTCCTACATATTTAAACTGCAGTCATATTCACAAGTAACCAAGGTAACTCACTGGACCACGGAGGTCCACCAGCTCCTGGCGGAGTTGCTTCAGCAGCGTCTCCTTACAGTTGAGTTGTCGATGCAGCAGCTCATTAAACTCCATCAGCTCACCATGCATTTCAGCTACCTGTGACATTGCAATTAACTTTTAACACTACCTCCATTAGGATATCAAAGTATGGCATTACGTCTCTAAAGTACTGTCGGAAATAGAAAAAAACTGTTTTTAGACTGTTACTCTGTATCACTAAAATTTACACAATTGCAAATAGCATATGTCGAAATAACCCACATCGGCCTAACTGGGCGTTCAGGGGGATGCGTAATAGGATATCCAGAAAAGCATGTTTACTCGTAAAATCGGGCAAAACTTAGAACAAATACGAATAGCTGCTGAAAACAATAGATCAGACTATAGATGACAATTAGGTCGCTCAGCCAGGTATGACGACGGACCGTCGACTCACATGGCATGAAATGCATGTGCTGCCCACAGGCACAAGGGTCATCTCAAAGATATTTTATGTTTTTTCATATGTATTGAATATGTTTCTATTGATTATCTTATCTTAGCTAATATCTCAGTTCCCCAGCCCGACCCCAACCACCGTCTGCGACACCCGTCCTGGTTTTGCTTTTGAGACGACCCCTCCTACCTGTTTCTTTTTATTGTGATAGTGAGACGCCATGGTAGCTACATCCTTAATAGTTTCAGTATTAAAGTTATTATTTTTTACATCTGCTATCGTTTATAATGAAGCTAAGTCTAATTTTAATAATGATCATTTAAAAAGTGTCGTTTGTAATACAATATCATCGCACACTAATTTGCATAAAGCTATGGTCTGTTCTGAAATACCTGCATTGCTCATTTCTGCACTAATCTCTTCTCAGTAAAATCCTTCTTTTACATTTCCTTTCTCCCTCCCTCAGCGACTGTAGTTAGGCCGAACTTAGTTTAACAGATATTTCACACTTTCACATATTAACTACCTAAATTGTAGATATAAATGTGAAAAAACATTTTTTTTCTATTTCCGACAGTACTTTAGCATGAAGTTCTTAATTATTTTAAGCTCTTGCAGGGTCTCCTTTTCATTTCAGAATTCAAACAACAGTTGTCATTGTGTAAAATTTTAAGAATTGCAATGGCATCCAGTTATCTTTGCAAGTAAATGTGGATTGTCCTCCTCCATGGTGGCCTAGTGGTAAAGGTGTTGCTTCATCTCACTGACGGCACAGGTTTGATTCCCTGTACATGGACACATTGGGTGAAGCAAATTCTTGGTGTCACTTTTCTGTCTACATTTAGTATATCATGCAGTATGTTTCCATGTATTTGTACAGGAGCAGCATTAGGATACCCATTCTCTTGTCTGACAATCCATTTCATTATGAAATAAATACATTTATAAACATTCTTGTTGTCATCTGTGATGAGAAAGTTGGAATAATGGTGAAAATAGTATAGAACTCAGCACATTCTCTCACTCTGGTCGTACCTGGATGAGTTTCTTCTCGTACTCTGACGCCTCGTAGCTGTAGTCAATCATGGGTTTCTCAGGGGGGATGGTTGGCTGGGGCTCCTCCAGGCTCACTCCAAGGTTAGCTGACAAACACAAAGCAAGCAATAATATTTCACACATTCGTTTACAAGCCATTTAAAACTTCAACATGTTCTTGTATTAGACCTGACCAAGGCTAGCCTGTCTAAAAGTTTGTTTCCAATATTGCTGAAATTCAGAGCTATTAATATGAATCTCATCTTAAATCTGACCAACAAGAGTTTTGAAATATGACCACTTGGTCTTGTTCCTGAAAATATGGTCTTCAATCCCTAGTTGTCTTCCAGAACACCTTTTATGACCAGTCTTCTATAGGTTTACTGGTTATAATGAACTTGACATGAACTTCATGAGAATGTGGATATTGAGAGAATATGAGTTCGCAGCGTACCATCTTTGTTTACAGCCTCAGTCCTCAGAAGTTGAACAGCGTTCACGTACTTCCGTAGCTGGTGCTTCAACAGCTCATTCTCCCTGCACAGCGAACACAACAGCAGGACACAGGTGAGACACAGGTGAGAAAGACTGACTACCTTACTACTAGTCAGACACTGTGTGAAATATTCCAAATACATTTTAGCCAATATATTTAAGAGTGAGTGATTGAGTGACTAGTTTTATGCCGCTTTTAGCAATATTCCAGCAATATCACAGCAGAGGACACCAGAAATGGGCTTCACACATTGTACCCATGTGGGGAATCGAACCTGGGCCTTCGGCGTGACGAGCGAATGCTTTACCCCTTGGCTACCCACTGCCCCAATAATATATTTAAGAAAAGGATGTACTTGTGAAGGACAAACGGGAATGAAAATCACTAGATACTTCTTGAATGCCTGTAGTCTGGCAAGGTCTGATCAGAAATATGTATAAAGTGGAAAGAGTGCATGTCACCATGGCAACTTCTGTGATGCCTGTTGTATAATTAGGTCCAATTAGTACCATTTATGTAGCTTGTAACTATAGTTATGGCGCTGTATCTATTGAAATATACTGTTGCGATGCTTATGGCTGATAAAGGTCCAACCATTAACATTGTGGAAGGCAATAACTATGGTAACTATGCTTGTTCCCATGACAACATTCTTCTCTGATGCCAGAGTCTTGACAAGATCCAGCCAGTAACAATCATGACTGCATCTAACATGGTAACAGTGCTGGTTCCCATGGCAACTTACTTCTGCAATGCTTGTATCTTAGCAAGGTCCATCTCCTGCCGAGACTGCTGCTGCAACTTCAGCTCCTCAATCTCAGCACGCAACATCGATGAGGTCTCCATCTCATGCTCCAACATCGCCTTCACTGACCTGGGACATACAATGTATCACATGGTCCCAACAATCGGCAAAGAGATGGAAATTACAATTACAGACTACTGTTGTTTTTCAGTTTGATTGTAACCATGGTAACAGACGAACCACCAGCCTTAATCTATTGTACATAGATAAAGGTTGATGAACTTGATGTTATTAATGCTTATTATAACTCACTTGTTTTGTTCTTCAACTTCATCCTTCCGCAACATCATGGCAACTACAGCTTGCTTCAAGTCACCTACAGTGAAAAACAATAAATCTCTTCCCATGTGTTCCTTGACTAACAAAGTAAGGGACCATTGATAATTTATGGCTAGGAGGTGTTGATGATTCTTATGGAGAAGTATGTACAATGTGAATGACCCCAATAAATTTATGCACAAAGTAAGTGACACTCTCCTGCAAGTCACTTACAAAATCAATGAATCTCCCTGGTATATGTGAACAAAACTGATGACACGCATCCACGCATGCACTCACGCGGGCACGCATGCACGACGTCATCATCATCCCCCTAACCATAAATTATGAAAGGTCCATCTATGTAGCACCAAAATTATATTGGTAATACTCACCATCAGTTTTAAACTTGCTTTAAGGAAGACACAGATAAATCTTTAAACAAGAGTAGCATGTTGACGGATACAAATTATTTACATACAACAAAAATAATAAATTACTTCAAATATGTCACTTTAAAAAATCTATCCATATATATAATACTTCTGATAAAAAATATCAGCTGTGTTTTTTATTTCAATAAATAGAATTAGTCATGTGGGAAATATTACAGCAAATAAATTAACATGACAAAGCTCATGTAAAAGAAGTGAGGGAGAGGACAGTATAGTAAGCCGACAATTGTTAGTAGCGAAAGTGTTAATGGTAAAAAAAACTGTGTGTTAGAAATAGGAATAAACATATGCTAAAAACTTGTTATAGAGAAATAGTATACAGGATGTGTGGAGAGTGAAGCAACGGAATGAACCCGAACTGAACGTCCCAGTGAGGAGGATTGTTAGTAAGAAGGCTATGCTAGCTACTGCATGCCTATCAAGTAATCTTATCTCACTCTTCTCAGCTGCCGTCTTAGGGCTGGAGGGCAGGGCAATGAGACTAGTTGTGTGACACATACTCTGCCCACTGATTCCCTGCTGTTCCAACACTTCGTCAATGCTGCCACCATCTCCTTGGGTACGGGGGCTGGAATGACGGGATGAGGAAACAGTGAGACACTTCATGTTAGTGGGTGAGTATGGTTCAATGCCACTTTTAACAGTGTTACATTTATTTTAGTGTTCATTAATGTATTTTGTTAAGATTAATTCACAGTGAGTGGATAAGCGGAAAATCATAATTATCTCCCCTGAACTGTTACAGTGTATATAATCAGTGACGAATAAGAGCATGCTGACATTGTTCAAAATAAGCACTTGTACGAAGACCAGTAACACGTTTGTTTGTTTAACATTGCATTCAGCAATATTCCAGCTATATGGCAGTCATCAGACAGTTCTTTGATCAACAGCATGAGCATTGATCTACACATTGGAACATAATGACATGTGTCAGGCAAGTCTGTAAGCCTGACCACCTGATCCTGTTAGCTGCGTTTTACGATAAGCATGCCGATGCATGCCGATTAACATACAGTACAACCAGAAATTATTGAAAATTTAAAAATTGTAATTTTTTAACTCATTACTCCAAATAAATGTGAATATTAGCAGAACATAACTCCAGATTCAAAGACAGGCGAACACTTAGTATTTTGTCAAGTCACCATTGGCAGCAATGCAGGCTTCAATGCGGCGGGGCATACTACTATCGGATCAAAGAAGTTAGAAAGTCGTGGTCCATGCTGTCCCAATATCGGACCACCTCTTCTTTCATTTTAGCAATATTTGTCAGATTTTTCTTATTGACACTTTCCTTCATAAGTCCTCAAACATTTTCTATTGGATTTAGGTCAGGGCTATAGCTTGGCCAATCCAATAATGTCATATTTTGGGTCCGAAACCAGGCCTGTGAATGCTTTGAACGATGTTTTGGGTCGTTGTCCTGCTGGAAAATCCAAACATTTCCATAGAACACATGAACAGATGGAAGTAAATGTCCCTCGAGAATATCTGTGTATCGCTCACTGTTCATATTCCCTTCAAATACACAGAGGGACGTGGCCCCTAACACAGATATGCCAACCCACACTTTAAATTTCGGACTGTACTTTTGGTGCTGATACAAAGGTTTTTCAGTTTGTTTGGTCCAGAATTTCAGTGTATTAGGAAACAGCCACACAGAACTTTCATCTGAGAAAATCACATTGTCCCAGTTAAAAGTTTTATGCTGTAAGCACCAGTTCAACCTTTGCTCCTTTTGTTCAGGTTTCATGATCGGTGATGGAATTCCTCGACTTTTCTGCCAACCCATTGCATGCAGCTCAGTTCTAATTGTCTCCTTACAGACAGCCACAGTTCCTCTATCAATCATATCCAGCCTTAAGTTTTCTAAACTCCTTTGTTTGTTTTTAGAAACAAGAATACAAAGCCGCCTCCTATCACCGACAGTCAATTTTCTGGGCCTACCTGGTGCTCAATGCCATATTCATTTGCAATATTTTTCAAAACACGATAAACAGTGGACAAAGGGATGCCTGTTCTACTTGAAATCACTTTAGCTGATCTGATGTCATTGTTATAATACTCTAAAATCAACTTCCTCTTCTCTAAATCATCCATACTGAGGATCACTGAAAATGTAGTCTGCTAGCAAGTAAACAAAGGGGGATAACTCTTCACATACTAATGACAAAGGATTAACTGAGTTGTCTCTCTTGAATGAAACCAAGCACTTGATAGCTAGTCAAGGTTGTTTATACTAGAAATCCAATTAAACATATTCCTAAAATTCTCAATAATTTCTGGTCATACTATATAATTTGGTGATTACAATCAGAAACTTATGAAGGTAATTACGATGTGATGCATGTGATACTGACCTTTGATTGAGCCCCTTCTGTACCATAGCCAGAGCCAGGGCAGCAGACTCAACATCCTCTCCTGCGTACCCCAGTACCTCAGAATCCACTGTATATAGCATTGTATACACTAGGTATGAATAACGTCAATAGCATAATCATATCTCACAGTAACATTGATCCTTGACCTCTAATTTAAAGCTTCATTCATTATATGGTTTGGAGATTTTTTCTCAAAATAACAAAATTCAGTATTCCAATAGTGCCAAAGCCCTGTAGCTCACCTGGATATCTAGTAGGCGTCAGTTTAAAATTTCAATAGAAACAGCAACTTCACAAATGTTGACGTGAACTTTGACATTTGAGTCCTCCTTGGGGTACTTATAAACATTTTATGTCCACTAAAAATTCATACGACAGTTGTAACTATATTTTGAATAAAATATTTACAAAACAAAAAACTTGTTTTTGTCTTGTTTGACCACCCCTTCAGGGCCCCCCAGGCACGCAGCCAAGAGAAGGTAACCTCGCTAATCACTTTCCATGCTGTCCCACATTCATTTTCATCTATACTCCCACTAAATGATGCTATATTTTGTATTTATCAGTTACTTTAAAAGTTGCAACTCGTAACAATACATCAGTTGCTCCTGTAAATAATGATGCAGGAAACATACTACAGGTACGGGAGCTGACACCACGTACAGTCGAGCACCGATGTGTTGAACTCTGATAACTCGATATCTTGGTTGTCTGGATGTAACATCTCGGTCCTGGCAAAATTCTTCATAATTTATCATTATTCAAGCTCTTTTAACTTGATTCGGATGTCTCGATATTTCGGATATCTCGATATAATTTCATTGTCCCAACAAGCAAAATTACCCTTTTAACTCGATATTTGCAAAGAAACTTGATAATCACCTACCTTTCATGGGCAAGTATCCCTCTGAACTGAGGTTGTTTCCACACGTTTACACACGGTGCGGCATGAATCAAAGGGATGCGGTAGTGTAAACTAATTAGGGCTAATTGAGTTGAAGGTGTCACTTGTTTGTTTTTTAATTAGGGTTAATTAAGAAGGAATTAATTAGGAAGTACTCACTGTTACGACTAAACACTACTGATAACGGATTATAGTTTCGAATCAAAACATACTGAGAAGCATTTTGTTTTCTTAAACATAGTGATATGTGATGATATGCCCTGGTCGGATGTCTCGAAGTTCGGATAACTCGATATTTTTTCTTGGTCCCATGAATATCGAGACAACGGTGCTCGACTGTATTTCAGTCCTGTAAGTAGGATTTTCATAAGCATCCCCTGAATGTCACTGTTTTAAGTTTAATGTTTAATCAGGCAGGACAGTAAGTAGGTCAGTATGAATTAACTTTGGACATCTTTCTGCTAGGTTTTTGTTTCACAGCTCATTGCATCTGCAGAATAAGCAACTAAAAGTGTGGCCATAAAATGCTGGAACCACCCTCTTCCATTATGATGACATGCAGCAACCATATGTATTGCTAATAAGAGTTATCTATCCTTGCAATGAGATGCATCTGGAGTTATCTACCTTGGAATGCCCACTTACATCCTGTATCCTACCCATCTTTGGGTACTGTTTGCTCGAGTACCTATCACAACCTCTGTCTAAGCACAAAGGTCAAATATAGGTTAAAATCACGATACTGCATACTGTTGCTTATATGTTGTGAGTCTCAATACTAAAAAAAATAAAAAATACTAGCGCCTTGAGCATGTACTAGTTGTGTGGATATGTGCGCTATATAAATATCCTGTAGTGATAATGACAAAGACCTAACACAATACCAATTCTCATCACATTTTAAATGAAACTGGTAATGGCCATAAACCGATTCTTCACAGCTGCCATGGTAAAATCTTGAAAATTGATCACACCACTTGTCAAGTGATATTTGAAAAGATGGTATTAATGACATGACACAAGCTCACATGACTCTCCATCAGGTGTGCTAATAAAGTAAGTACCCATCATCAAGACGGATATGGGTGGATGTTAAAATAATACAATTTCAATTTTTGTTAGTGTTCATTGTGGATCTATCTCACACTTTGAACCTGATGATGTTCTGTATCTCTTGGACACAGACAATGTGTCACTTACGATATGTCTGTTATATAACACATTGTCTGCAGTGCTATTTCAGTTATCTCTAGGACACAGACAATGTGTCACTTACGATATGTCTGTTATATAACACATTGTCTGCAGTGCTATTTCAGTTATCTCTAGGACACAGACAATGTGTCGGTTACAATATGTCTGTTACATAACACAATGTCTGCAGTGCTATTTCAGTTATCTCTAGGACACAGACAATGTGTCGGTTACAATACGTCTGTTACATAACACAATGTCTGCAGTGCTATTTCAGTTATCTCTAGGACACAGACAATGTGTCGGTTACAATAACACGTCTGTTACATAACACAATGTCTGCAGTGCTATTTCAGTTATCTCTAGGACACAGACAATGTGTCGGTTACAATATGTCTGTTACATAACACATTGTCTGCAGTGCTATTTCAGTTATCTCTAGGACACAGACAATGTGTCGGTTACAATATGTCTGTTACATAACACAATGTCTGCAGTGCTATTTCAGTTATCTCTAGGACACAGACAATGTGTCGGTTACAATATGTCTGTTACATAACACAATGTCTGCAGTGCTATTTCAGTTATCTCTAGGACACAGACAATGTGTCGGTTACAATATGTCTGTTACATAACACATTGTCTACAGTGCTATTTCAGTTATCTCTAAGACACAGACAATGTGTCGGTTACAATATGTCTGTTACATAACACATTGTCTGCAGTGCTATTTCAGTTATCTCTAGGACACAGACAATGTGTTGTCTACAATACATCTGTTACATAACACATTGTCTGCAGTGCTATTTCAGTTATCTCTAGGACACAGACAATGTGTCGGTTACAATATGTCTGTTACATAACACATTGTCTGCAGTGCTATTTCAGTTATCTCTAGGACACAGACATGTCTGTTACATAACACATTGTCTGCAGTGCTATTTTAGTTATCTCTAGGACACAGACAATGTCTGCTTACATACGCCTGTTACATAACACATTGTCTGCAGTGCTATTTCAGTTATCTCTAGGACACAGACAATGTGTCGGTTACAATATGTCTGTTACATAACACATTGTCTGCAGTGCTATTTAAGTTATCTCTAGGACACAGACAGTGTGTCGGTTAAATATGTCTGTTACATAACACAATGTCTGCAGTGCTATTTCAGTTATCTCTAGGACACAGACAATGTGTCGGTTACAATATGTCTGTTACATAACACATTGTCTACAGTGCTATTTCAGTTATCTCTAGGACACAGACAATGTCTAGGACATAACACAATAACACATTGTCTGCAGTGCTATTTCAGTTATCTCTAGGACACAGACAATGTGTCGGTTACAATATGTCTGTTACATAACACAATGTCTGCAGTGCTATTTCAGTTATCTCTAGGACACAGACAATGTGTCGGTTACAATATGTCTGTTACATAACACATTGTCTACAGTGCTATTTCAGTTATCTCTAGGACACAGACAATGTGTCGGTTACAATATGTCTGTTACATAACACATTGTCTGCAGTGCTATTTCAGTTATCTCTAGGACACAGACAATGTGTCGGTTACAATATGTCTGTTACATAACACATTGTCAACAGTGCTATTTCAGTTAGTACCTTTCAATCAAGCAGAAGGGTAAATGGGACGCTGGTGTTAGTATCAAATATCAGAGTTCAGGCTTGGACACATTAATAGGAGATGCAATCATTTCTATATGATTACAAAGTGTTAGTTAAAAATTATACTAAGAATATTAGTTTAGATAACTTTTCTTGGGACAAGGGGTCTACAGCTGCAAGGAGGAGGAACAGATATGTAGCACAAGGAATGGGTGTATTGCATAGGAACTCACCTGTGTGGCTCTGAGAGGAATTCCTGCCACTAGGTGGCGTCAAGTCAATAGGCTGACCAGCCGGTGAGAGCGGCGTCAGAGTTGCTGTTCCCTCCCTGAAAAGAAATGAATATTAGTTCACTAACATGCATACACACATGCATTATTGTCGTATTGTTTCCTGTCTCTATGAACATGCAAAACAGACTTTTAGATATTGTTAAAAGAGAGGGATTTCTGTTGGAGACTTAATACTTTTTTGGTCACTACTTTAATATATCCTACATTACAAGGGATCTATATATATTTCTATTATCTATATTTCACATTTTTATCATACCTCAATGGTTTTGGTCAGCAAAATAATTGCTTTACTACTTTCTGGAACAAATTAACTTTTTAATTTAAAAGTCCTATTGTTGGACACACAGTGAACTCCACCAAGTGTCAGTCCCTTATGTCATGTGGATGTCTGGCCCCGGGATCATGAAAACATCTTAAGTCTAAAATTTGCTTAGCACAAAAAAAACTTAAGTCTAAAAAAAGTTGCTTAGCTAAGATTTTAGATGAGACTGGATCATGAAACTGTCTCAGCAAAAGCTTAGCTAAGACTAAGCCTAAGACAGTTACCATGGCTATTTTAGAATGATGTAATCATGTCCGGTCACTCTTAATTAATTGAGGAGAACAGTTTAGTAGCAGGCACCTGCTGAAATGTTCCAAACAAGTCAACTGACGCTTTTATCCCTGCCGCGGTGAATTTTAGTGTCTTTACGGTTGGGATGTTGTTGAAAATACACCGACACGAATGCCTAAGTGCGTTTTCTGCCATATTGCATTGGATAGTGTTTACAAAATCACGTTTCGCGAAGGCCGGTATTGAGACGCCTATTACATCACATATTTTCATATTCATCAGTGACAAATGCATCACTGAATTCCTCATACATTTTAGCATCAAAAAAGCATTGTCAATAAGGTGACATAATCCCCCGCTGCAAATTATCAAATCAAACTTATAAAGTAATGAAAGTTTAAGATGGAGTTAAATGTCAACAAAAACATGACCAGTCAACCTCTCGTGATATCTGGCTCTTTAGTTGTTCAAACACACACATATTTTCAAGACTGACTTTGACCTTGACATGAATGTCATAGTGTATGAAATATGCAAAACTAGTACTAAAGAAATTGCTTATTGAAAAACATTCAAGGGAAGTCTTAAAAGTCTGTGAAGAAAATCCAGTGAACCGTTCTTAAAATATCTTGCTGACAATTCAGGTTAACATGCTGAAATCTTCAAAGTGTCGTCATGACCCTAAAAATTATGTGAAGGTCACCAAAACTGACTGGGCCTCTGTGTCTTCCCAAGGTAAAGCTTGGGGTTGAATATGAAGAAAATTCAAGGAACGGTTCTTGAGATAGCTTAACATGCAAGTTAACATGCTGAAATCTTCAAAGTGTCGCCATGACCTTGAAAATTATGTGAAGGTCACCAAAATAGACTTGGCCCTGCGCTTTCCCTAGATAAAGCTTGGTATTGAACATGAAGAAAATCCAGTGAACAGTTCTTGAGATAGCTAAACATGCAGGTAAAAGGTTAAAAGTCCCCTTGTGACCTTGAAATGAAGGTCAAGGTCACCAAACTTGACTTGGACCTTTCTTATACTGTGATGAACCTAGGTACCAAATATGCAAAGAATCTAGAGAACAGTTCTTAAGATATTAAAATTCGTACGTACGGACAGACAGACGGAGCCTAATACTATATCCCCCGCTTCGTGCTAAACGTGCGGCGGGGGATAATAAGAAATGGTCTTTTTCACTAAAACCAAGTGTCTAGGTGATATGAAACAAAAGATATTGGGCATGAAAAAGAACGCTGTGCGCGAAAGACAGCACTTCACAGTGTACTGCATTTTCTCAAATTTCAGACACCCATTCGTAGCATGCATAGGATCCATACTTTTAGAACATACATTGAAATAGTATCGTAGCAAGAAATAGCAAATTAAAAATAGATACAATACAGTAATGTGATAAGTTTATACGAAATTGTCAAAGTTTCTGTGCAGTGTGGCGCCATGACTGACGATAAAATCTTGCAGAACATATTAAAACAAAATCTAAAAAAAGTTCTTTTAAGTTTACATATTTGGCCAATAAAAAACATTTGATTTTTTGAGTGGGGGAAATCAATTTTTATTTTCTTTCTTATTCTTGACAAAATACGACCAGCGGATCTGTAAAACAAGAAATAAAATTGGTCTGGTTTAAAAGGATATGTCCAACTCTCAATGCAGTAAGGTACTGTCATAAATCCTCCATCAAGAAAACCTACCCTAATTCCACATCTTCTGAACTGAATGACCCCAGACTTGACCTTGACAGTCCATCTGAAGACGCTTGACTCACAATTGGAGTGGTCTTATTTGATTGGGTAGAGTTGCCTCCCTTTGAGGTGACTCCATCACCTGGATCCCCATTTCTCATCTGAACACCAGCTTTGTCCTCAACATTGTCAGACATGTCTTTAATGGAATCCTCCCTGGATATGGGGTCGGAACTGACAGAGCTGTGGGGAGACTTCCTGGACTTGGCAGTCACTGACCCTGACTCACTGAACACATCTGCATCATCTTCATCAAAGCTGACAATGTTTGCTATCTTCTTCTTTTTCCTTTTTTCCTTCTTTTTGACACTCTCTGCAATTTCTACAAACATAAAAAGAATGTCAGCTTTAGAGACTGCCCAGACAGTCTAAATAGTATTTTTCATATGATTTTTTTGGCATTCTAATCTTAGTTATCATTTACATCCACTTCAAAATAAAGGATGCAGCAACAGACCTACCAGTGCCCATGGCTATGGAACAAGGACCTACTACTATAACCAGCTATGAAACAAAGGACCTATCATTGTCCCCAGGGACAAAACAAAGGACCTACCAGTGCCCATAGCTATGGAACAAGGACCTACGACTATCCCCAGCTATGAAACAAAGGACCTATCATTGTCCCCAGGGACAAAACAAAGGACCTACAATTGTCCCCAGCTATGAAACAAAGGACCTGCCACAATCCCCAGCTATGAAACAAAGTACCTACCATTGTCCCCAGCTATGAAACAATGACCTATCACTGTCCTCAGCTATGAAACAATGACCTATCACTGTCCTCAGCTATAAAACAAGGACTTACTATTGTCCCTGGCTCTTAAACAAAGGGCCTACATTGTCCCCAGCAATGAAACAAGGTCCTACCATTGTCCCTAGCTATAAAACAAGGACCTACCACTGTCCCAAGCTATGAAACAAAGGACCTGCCATTGTCCCCAATTATGAAACAAAGGACCTAACACTGTCTCACACTATGAAACTAAGGACCTACCATTGTCCCCAGCTATAACTGCATGTGGCTCCTCCTGAACGTCAGCAGCCGTCCCCTGATCAGTTGTGTTGTTGACATGCACATTGTTAGAAACATGGTGTGCTCTGTTTAGCTCTGGCCGGTCAATGGTGATAGCAAACAAAATAGAACCAAGACCTGCAGAATAATGTAATATATTGGTTAAAGAATATTATTTTATGACACTTACTCAGAAATTACAATTCAACCACTTGCTAAATGGAAATTTTTCTTTTCCTGAAATAGGTCTTTTTTGAGGAGTTAAAATCATTACATATTATATATTTGACTGGGAGAGTAAGACCAAACAGATCTAAGGTAATAACTTTTAAATAAAGGTTAATTAATTGTTATTTAATATTTGGCTAGTGGTGAATTGAGTATTTGAAGCATAGGAATTCATTTGGAACTGACAGCGTTAGCCGGAGGTTTCCAATGAAATATTCCTGTGCTTCAAATACTCAATACACCCGGATATTGGACAACACACGATGTTTATCGACATTGTAAACACAAAAATAAACCAAAAGGCCCACATGGGTTTTACTGTCTGCACTCATTGACATCAAGTACGGGTACAGCAGTAAAGTGTCATCAGCTGGCCGTTTCAGCTGGTTACCATGGTAGCATCTGGAACTGCTCATTTGTCATGTCATTCCGACTTTACGTCACAATATGATTTGAATGACACCACCACTGCTGACGACCCTAAAATACAATTTAGCTGGGCCCCGTCTCGCACCTAGAATTGGCGCAAGTTAGCGCACGCAAAGGGAGCTGAGAACCACCTTGCAATACAATTGTGTGCGATATTTGAATGTGTCACTATGCAGTGAATAGTCTTGGAATTTCCGGGAATCGAATACCATTCGATCATGTTTTTCAACCAATCAGATTAAAGAACATGGTGATTTCTGGTTTACAATCCTGCTTGACAACGGTACAAGAATCTGTGTCAAAATGTCGCACTCAGGAACAAAAGAAGTTGTTATCAATAAAGTTTGTTCTATATTGTACTTCCCTCAAAGTAAACTAAACTGTCACTCACAGAAGTGGATCAGAAGTGTTGGGAAAATGGCATTAAGGTTTCTACAACACATGGGTCTCAAATGGGACTTCACAGAGTACAGTGAGATGGTAAAATCCAACGAGCAGGCAAATTTGTGTAAACAATTACGGGATGTTGAGTACAGTCAGACTACTGATTGGGTATTAGCACAGCGATCATGGATGACTGAAACCTACCGGCCGACATCATGGGCAGCATACTGCTTCTCTCCTGATCACGTAGGAATGCCCACTCTTCATAAAACTGACTGAAAGTAAAAAAACAAAGATTCAAGAATGAAATGTTTGCCATACTTATGCCTTATTGCTTAAACACTTGCACATACATCCCTGATTCTCTCCTTCAGATGAGATCAGAACACATGCAGCCTTAAATGCTAATTCTATCCTGTGAAGATTTGGGTAAGAAATGATTCTCAGCCACATTCTTGCTAGCCTGTCTCCCTCCATTATCTCACCAGAGCATGCCCTCACTACTGATGACCCTGCCTTGTTCCACTATCTCACCTGAGTAATTAGTTGCCATCAATGACCCTGCCTCCTCTCACTGTCTCACCTGATCAAGTAAATGCTATCGATGAGCCTCTCTCTCCTACTTCACCTGAGCAAATCCTTGCTATCGATGAGCCCCCTGCCTCTACTATCTCGTCCGAGCAAGTAATTGCAATCAATGAGTCTCTCTCATTCTACTGTATCACCTAAACAGGAAATTGCTATTGATCAGCCTATCTCTCTCTACTATCTCACCTGAGCAAGTAATTGCAATCAATGAGCCTCTCTCATTCTACTGTATCAGCTAAACAGGAAATCCTAGCTATCGATGAGCCCCTCTCCCTCTACTGGCTCACCTGAGCAAGTAATTGCAATCAATGAGCCTCTCTCATTCTACTATTTCACTCAAACAGGTAATTGCTATTGATCAGACTATCTCCCTCTACTATCTCACCTGAGCAAGTAATTGCAATCAATGAGCCTCTCTCATTCTACTGTATCACCTAAACAGGAAATTGCTATTGATCAGTCTATCTCTCTCTACTATCTCACCTGAGCAAGTCATCGCTATCGATGAGCATGTGCATGTATCTCTCCAGGGAATGTTCATTGAATGAAGCACGGAGCCACGCTCGTCCTCGGCCAGCATCGCTGTTGATGGTCTTGAGGTTGGCGAGGCGTTGTAGCTCATGTTTAGTCAGGACGTCCTTAGCATACTGCCAGAAGGCTGGTCAACACAAACACACTCATATCTGAACCCACGGAATATATAGGTAGCCCCTACCTATACTTACTGTGCCTGACATAAGGCAGAATGTTTATACTTTCAAACACATTCATGTTGCATATAATAATATATTTTACATGCAGTGGTATTCTCACATAATAGATAGTATCTCCTATGTAAAGATCAGTTAGAATATGCCGGTCATCTATTTATAATTATCAGGATGATTTCAAATGTTAAACAACTGTACAAGGTATTGAAAGGTTTGAAAATGTACTAATGTATTAATCCCTATCATCCCATGATGCATCAACCAGATGAACTTTCTCATCAGCCAATCAATGTCAAGACATACAGAATCTCTGTAGAGTGAGTAAGTGAGTGAGTTTAGTTTTACGCCACACTCAGCAATATTTCATTTTTATGGCGGCAGTCTGTAAATAATCGAGTCTGGACCAGACAATCCAGTGATCAACAACATAGGCATCGATCTGCGCACTTGGGAACCGATGACATGTGTCAACCAAGCCAGCGAGTCTGACCACCCGATCCCGTTAGTTGCCTCTTACGACAAGCATGGGTTATTGAAGGCCAAATTCTAACCCGGACCTTCACGGGTGAATCTCTGTAGAAGAGACCAAAACATTCACAGGAACATATCTCATAAACACACCTAGTTAGGCAGTTCAGATAGAAAACAATCATACTATAATAGTTTGCGTATATTTTACACACTCTGTCTCATATGATCTGCCCCATGGCATCTGCCCCCAAATGAGGGAAAAGATGTCTTCAGTCTGGATTTGAATTGGCTAAAATCAAAATGTTTGAAATGGGGTAGTTAGAACAGAAACGAGTGAGTGAGTTCAGTTTTAGGGTGTTTTTTTAGAAATATTCCAGCAATATCATGGCAAGCGACACCAGAAATGGACTTCCACATTGAATCCACGTGGGAATCGAACACGGCTCTTGCAAATATCAGCAAATGCTGTAACCACTAGGCTACCTGAATGCCCCAGAAAAGAAATGAAATTGTTTTAGAAAACTGACTGGCTGAAGAACCCATGCATCATTAATGTAGGTTTGGCAGATCACAGATCACTTTGGCTTCACCTGACACAGCCGTCATCAGATCTTGACACAGAGTATTGTGAAAGCAGTGATATTTACAAAAACGCCTAAAGAAAAATACCTCATTCCTGTCAACATTACTATCACTCAGAAAGCTGTTGAAATGACAATCTTAGGACCAGGTTCTGTCATAAAACAGGCAAATGATATTTCCCATCAACAGATGGAGGGTGTTCAATAGTTACCTGGCTCAGGATCAATATTCTTGATGTCATTGAGGAAATCTGTTACTTTTGACAGCCCTGCTCTCTCCGTCACCTGCCTTACAAACATGTACAGACCATCTATACACAGACTAAGATCTGGTAATAAACATAGAACATGTGTAAACATGACACTGTGTGGATCAACATGGTGTGTCAGCTGGACGTGGAAAATTGTCAATATTTCTGCATCCTTGTAAGTGGTATAATCCTGCTATCTGATACTTATATATGGCATATCATGGCAGTGATCATGGCAGTGATCATGAGTGAGTGAGTGAGTGAGTGAGTGAGAGGGAGAGTGAGAGTGAGTGAGTTTAGTTTTACGCCGCAGTCAGCAATTTTCCAGCTATATGGCAGTGGTCTGTAAATAATCAAGTCTGGACCAGACAATCCAGTGATCAACAGCATGAGCATCGATCTGTGCAATTGGGAACCGATGACATGTGTCAACCAAGTCAGCAAGCCTGACCACCCGATCCCATTAGTTGCCTCTTTCGACAAGCATTGGTTACTGAAGATCAGTATTCTAACTTGGACCTTCACGGGTAGGCAGTAATCATGATGCAGGCAAACTAGTGGGTAATGATGTGAATATTTTATTATATTACATGGTATATCATGGTGTAATATGGCTTAGTAAAGATAAACTAGTGGTTGGTGATGTGAATATCTTTTTAGTCAGGGAGTGTATACTGATTATCACACATTTCAACAATTACGGGAAATTGAAAATTTTAATATAAATTGTATATATAGATACCTATCCTATATCACGGTATGCACTTATCTCTCTTGATTCGACACTGAGTGCAACGATGTAAACTTTTTTCCCTAAGCCTCTCGTGTCCATCCACCCAAGCACTCCATGCTACCCTCACTATAAGACAGCTTCCTAACTCTCATGCAAAGCATGCAGCATGCACCACTAGCTGCCCACGTGACTATCTCCGAATCATCATTCTCATTCTTGGAGCCACTGGATAATATCCATCTTGGAGAATCTGCATAGCGGGGGAGGATGGGCGGGAATCCATGTGAGATAGGCTAAGTATATAAATATACAATTTATATTAAAATTTTCAAATTTTTATTCTTATCCTATCTCACGGTATGCACTTATCCCATGGTCGGACGGCTGGACGCAGATACCCTGTGTCTTGACAGTGCGAACAGCAGGAACTGTGTAGACTGCAAACGACCGTAGATAGCGAATGCACAAGGGCGGCCTGTTACGCATGCACACAACTCCTATGCTTGTGCTGAGTTCTCTTGAACTCCTTGGCTTACTAAGCACAACGTCTCCCAGGGAGATGGGTGCTCCTGAGCGATGTGGTGTTCGGCCGCAACCTCTGAAGAAGGACACAGCTCAATGAGAAAGTATGTCACTTCACCATTTCCAAGGTACCCCCGTAAATTAAAGTCGGTTGACAATAATCGGGCCAGCCCCTGCTTCGAGAAGACCCCCACAGACACCGACCAGAGGCGGGTGAAAGTGAAGCACAACTTGGGAACTCCAAGTTTTAACGTTCAGTTCCAGAACAGCATCAAATTGACATAAGCTTAGTCAAAGGATGTGCCCGGCAACTTTTCGGTGTCGGAATGCAACGAAATCCACTGAAATTCGGGAGTGACACACTTCAGGTAAACTTTTAGAAGCAAAACACATCAAGAAGATAGGATCTGCCCTCAACAGAGATGAAAGATACTACATTCCTAATGCCTACCATCACTTGATAAAGTAATCAATTAATTTCTCGTGTACATTACCTGTTTCATTCCAACTATGTACATCAACCCCATCCATTGTATAAACATCCACCTGGCTTCCTATCAGTTGTATAAGCTCTAATTCAGTCCTTGTATGTCACCCTACCGGCTTCCTATCAATTTACTCAATCTCTCATACAAACGTTGTACATCAACCTCATATATTGTATAAGCAACTCATTCCTATCTACTGTAACAACTCCTGTATATATTCTCTCAATTTGTTACTCATGTACCACTTGCTTGACGACATTAGAACCTATGTCGAAACGTTGCCTCCACAGAATAAAAGAAGTTGTATATCCATAATAATTGTCATTATTCTTCAAGAAAGAGAATGATGATTCGGAGATAGTCACGTGGGCAGCTAGTGGTGCATGCCGCATGCTTTGCATGAGAGTTAGGAAGCTGTCTTATAGTGAGGGTAGCATGGAGTGCTTGGGCGGATGGACAAGAGAGGCCTAGGGAAAAAAGTTTGCACTCAGTGTCGAATCAAGAGAGAGAAGTTAACATTTTCCTGTACTTCATGGTATATCATGGTGTAATGTGTCTTAGTAAAAACAAACTAGTGGTTAATGGTATGAGCATCTTCCATTATTACATGGCATATCATGTCTTAGTAGAGACAAACTAGTGGTTGATGGTAGGAACATCATCCTGTATTTCATGGTATATCATGGTGTAATGTGTCTTAGTAGAGACAAACTAGTGGTTGATGGTATGAACATCATCCTGTATTACATGGTATATCATGGTGTAATGTGTCTTAGTAGAGACAAACTAGTGGTTGATGGTATGAACATCATCCTGTATTTCATGGTATATCATGGTGTAACGTGTCTTAGTAGAGACAAACTAGTGGTTGATGGCATGAACATCTTCCTGTATTACTTGGCATATCATGGTGTAACGTGTCTTAGTAGAGACAAACTAGTGGTTGATGGTATGAACATCATCCTGTATTTCATGGCACATCATGGTGTAACGTGTCTTAGTAAAGACAAACTAGTGGTTGATGGTATGAACATCTTCCTGTATTACATGGCATATCATGGTGTAATGTGTCTTAGTAGAGACAAACTAGTGGTTGATGGTATGAACATCTTATCATATTACATGGTATATCATGGTGTAATATGGCTATATAAAGAAGAACTACTGGTTGATGGTATGAACATCATCCTGTATTTCATGGCATATCATGGTGTCACGTGTCTTAGTAAAGAAAAACTAGTGGTTGATGGTATGAACATCTTCCTGTATTACATGGCATATCATGGTGTAATGTGTCTTAGTAGAGACAAACTAGTGGTTGATGGTATGAACATCTTATCATATTACATGGTATATCATGGTGTAATATGGCTATATTAAGAAGAACTACTGGTTGATGGTATGAACATCTTACTATATTACATGACATATCATGGTGTAATGTGTCTCAGTAAAGACAAACTAGTGGTTGATGGTATGAACATCTTCCTGTATTACATGGCATATCATGGTGTAATGTGTCTTAGTAGAGACAAACTCGTGGTTGATGGCATGAACATATTATCATTAATGGTATATCATGGTGTAATATGGCTATATAAAGAAGAACTAGTGGTTGATGGTATGAACATATTATCATATAAAATGGCATGGTGTAATATGGTTAGGTAACGACAAACTACGGGTTGATGGTATGAACATCTTACTACTCTGGTTGGTATTATACAACATCTTTAGTTACGTCAATAAACTCTCTGATCTATCTGTTCAAAAACTTGAATCTATACTATCCTCACCAAGAAAATGGAATTAAGAAAAGTCTACCCAAAATAGACATTAAGGATGATGCAAAACTGAATATTCTCAAAAAAAATTATACTTTATCAAGCCCTGTTGTACGCTAAGGTCGTTTTGTACAACACCACCCAGATCCACCTACTCCCATGAGGAGTTGTACCAGTACCCATTACACTTACTTGATGGCAGTGAGAGCCTTGTTGTTCTTGCGCATACCATGTTGTAGTGCCGCCTCCCACGCTGCACACAGACAGGACACCCTGCACACATGGGAGATATTTACAACAATATATACAGCAGACATCAGGCAACTTGTATCTGGATTGCAAAACTTCAAAGGTCAAGGAGAATGACAGTAAATTTAAACATAGTGGTCCGAGCAGTACCAGCTACAGACACTTGAAGACAAGTGAAATATGGTGTACTAAATCGTACAGACTTTTTGTCTACACCATTATGAGTGAGTTTAGTGTTATGTCACTTTTAGCAATATTCCAGCAATATCACAGTGGGGGACACCAGAAATGGGCTTCACACATTGTGCCCATGTGGGGAATTGAACGCGGGTCTTTGGCATGATGAGTCAATGCTTTAACCACTTGGCTGCACCACTGCCCCTTATACATAAGAGATTCAGGATGTCTACTAGGATGATTTTGTTATAACTGCTCAACTCAAATGTTGGGTTTGTTTGTTGTTTGACACCACACTAAGCAATATTCCAGCTATATGAAAGTGGTCAGTAAATATTTGAGTCTGGACAAGACAATCCAGTGATTGACATCATGCATATCAATGATGTTTTCTACGACTTCAGGATCAACCAAGTCCATAAAATCTGACCACCCAGGGGTGGAAATAACTTTAAAATTGCTAGTGTACTCGGTACAGTGGCACATGTAAAATCACTTGCCCTGATAATATTTCCACTATACCGGCCGTTTTCTTGTTGATTTTTAAATAAACAACATAATTAATATTGGAAAGTCAACTGGACACCGGTACAGTGTGATATACAAATTTGCTTGCCCCGACTGGACTCCACCCGGACGCCAGGCAATGGGTTATTCCACCTGCCACCCAATGTGCTTGAAGTTTTGTAAATACTCAATAAATGTGATCTTACAGACGACAACCATGAGTTGCTGGCGAAGATCAATTCTACATGAACTTGACATCTTGCTCTTTCACAGATATCTTTAAATGTTGTGTATGGGAGTGTTCCAGGGAACAACACACACAATATGTTCATCTGTATTTTCATCTATCAACTATAAAATGGTGAAGCTGAAAGTCGTTAAGTCAAATAGCTAATCATGTCCACCAAATCAGACTGAATTCCAAATAATCAACATATCACATATTGGTTCAAAGTCGGGAGAGATGCTGCAGTACTTGTTAAACTATGACATTTGTAATGCATTGCAATCAGATTGCGAGATATTAGCAGATTATTATTCCACACAAAATATTCACAAGTTTTCATCAACTGCTAAAAATAACACACTACCATCATGATATTATGATGTTTTTTCTGCAGATGAATGTTTTCTTAATATTCTGAAAATATTCATTATGTAAAACACTATTAATTATATGCAAAATTGTAAATCAGAGAATGATTTCCCAATATGCCTCAGCAGTGAAGCATGCATTTGGAACAGAGATTATAAAGAGCACCCACAGCAATAAAATGTATACTGACCCCCTTTCTATTGTTAAACTTTGAATGGTCACAACTGGAAGAAAATCAAAGACAAAGGCATCTCTGTTTGCATTCTTAACATTGTTTTTGTAAAAGATGTTGCAGAATTTGTTTGTTTCTTATTCTAGAATATTTGGCACATTTCTTAAGCACACTATATGTTTCTACCAAAAGGTCATAAACTTTGTCTTCATAAGTCAGGCAAGCTACCGAGTGAGTGACTGAATGAGTTTAGTTTTACGCAGCACTCAGTAATATTCCAGTTATATGGCAGTGGTCTGTAAATAATTGAGTCTGGACCAGACAATCCAGTGATCAACAACATGAGTATCGATCTACAAAAATGGGATACGATCACGTGTCAACCAAGTCAGTGAGCCTGACCATCTGAGTCCGTTAGTCGCCCCTTACGACAAGCATGGGTTGCTGAAGATCAAAGTTAACCTGGATCTAAGTATCATGTGTCCAGGTGAGCTATTCAACCCTGCTGCTCTATATTTTTGACAGTCAGTACATATGTTGTTAGTTCTGGGATTCAACATTATATTTTCTGTTCCTTAAACATTATATATTTTGATCTCGATTTGACCAGACTGAAAGTTTAAACCTCTGACAGCTATTACTCAGCCATTTTTGTTAAAAAGGAAATGTGATGAGCATATGAGTAGTTTGTGGTGAGGCACGTGTGTTCCATTTTTTCGTGGTATATAATTCATCCACTTTCACCAAGTTCCTAATTTCTCCCAGGATGATGTCAGCACCATAAAAACTGAAAACCTCAGGAACGGTTAAGCTGAAATTTCACATTTGTTTTCCCCCAAAACTGTATCAGTGTTTCCTCGAGGATCTGCATAAGATGTTGCAATCTGGTTTTAGAGACATAATGATAAAGCCATTTAAGGCCAGTAATCAGTTATTTTTAATTAAAATTATGGAAATTTGATATATGAGTAGTTAGCTGGCAACTCATTGTGTATATTCCCTTTATTGAGATATTTTTGAAAAGTTTAACTTGATTTGGCCGTTTTAATGACCCATGGAACATCAGATCAACGCTACTACTTCGGGTTAACGGTCCTCTATGGCTACTGGTCAAGGAAGACCACCATGATTTGTTTTACTTGTCCACAGCAACATTCAGTAGTCGATTGGACAGAACTACACTTAACAGCATTATACATGGTAAAAGCAGTGTATAAAATTCCCAAAATTCCAAGCCAGACAGCCAGACTGGTAATGTCTAAAAATTACCAGTCCAGATACAAACTTGCCTGTCCGGTTTTCAACAATAAACTGAAAGTACACGTGTTGTCCTTGGTTATCGTACCATGAACTGTCCAATCGTAAGTAGTTTAACATAATTCTTAATTTTTCATAATACCTTAAACACATCAAACTGACGACAAGAGAACCTGTCTGATATTATGAAATATTTACTGTTAGGGGTAAAAATATCTACCAGACCACCAGACAGGCTACTTTTGAAATTTGACCGTCCGAGATGAAAATAAACCATTCCGGACGGTCGGGCAGGTGGGAATTTTAAACGCTGGTAAAAGGCAGATGAATCGATATACGGACTGCATTTCATAACTACGGTGTGCAAAAAGTCTTTTACGAAAAACCTCCTTAATTGGCCTAGGAAAAAAGTCCTCCGAAAAAAGGTCTATTTTGTCAAAAGAATAAAAAGTATTTTTTAGTTTTTTAGCATTAATTGACTTTCAATCACTCTTTCATGAGTACTTCATGTTTTTATAAGTGTCATTAAAAAGATAAAAGATCAATTGAGTGTTATCAATGTTTTTCTAAAATATTTGACATCAAAGCTGATGAATAAATAATTTTTTTATTACAATAGGGTTTTTTTCCAGTACTTTTTTACCAAGGATTTCCTACACTCTAATTACCTGCTGTCTGCATCCGTGGCTAGCTCTGACCGTCCGCCAAATCTCACCTGACACTGTAATTACAGGTAACATCAAACAGTTAAAGGTCACATGCAACCCAAAAATCAAACATAATTAAAACACAATTATCACTTATTCACGACATATAATATACATTGCTGGTTATGAAAAAACATATAAACAAAATTATAAGCGTACAATGCATAAATCAAAGTGCAATATTGTTTACTTGGTATAACATTTTGCAATCAACAGACATCATAACATGTCATGTGTTCATGCTCATTTTTTGTGTATATCAATCAACAGACATCATAACATGTCATGTGTTCAAGTATCACACCTGCCTGTCTGTGTAATTACATAATGTGACAGAGACCAAACTCGGGCCATAAATCAATGCGTTTTGTTTATGGTGTATAGCCTGATTGGTGTTAAGTTCAAATTGCATGTGGTCAGTGATCGCAGTTGTGTATTGAATATTGTCATTAGCAGACAGGCAGGCAGACACACAGGTGTCAATAAAACAAGACATTGAGTTTTGTCTGTCAATGCTAAATAATGACATTGCTTTTAAGTATCGAACTGAGAAAGTGACTCGGTAAGAAGAACGTGTGGTGAAATAGACAAATGAAATTATATAAACAGTTTATTTACTGTCATAACATATAAAAAGCTCGTGCCTGTGAGATATCAACAAAACATTAGGAAAATAGCTCACACCAAATCCTTCACAGAGTATTCACCGGACAGCCCGCTTCCAAGTTGCGCGAACCTATTTCAATGCGCACGTGCTATGAGCGCAGCCCAGCTGTTGAAACCAGTTTTCCCCCGAAAAGTCGGGGGAAAATTAGTGAATCGTTTGAACTCCAATTTTGCGCATTTTTTTCATCGCGTTATTTTTCAACTTTATAAGTTGAATTTGCATTTTTGATGATTTGTTTCGGTAAGTCCATACCGAAAGGTATCAGAATCTGCAAAGTTGTGTTTTACGTTGCATGTGACCTTTAAGGTAAGTCTTAAAAAGTACTGAAGTAATCTTGAAATAACAGTCTACTGACACCTGGATAGTGAACATGGTGAGTGCATATTCTGTTACGCCATAGACAGCACTATTGCAGTCAGACCTGACACCACTCAACAAACTGTGCATGTACCATATCAATATTTAATGAAAGAGAAAAACATATGATATGTTTATATTGATTTCTCATCTCAACAGAATGCTATTCCGTGTTTGTTGTTCAATTTCACACACAGCAATATGTCAGCTTGCAGATGTTGGCATGTAAATGATAGATGTTGACCATAGGAACAAGTGAGCTTTGCTTCATGCTTTTAGAGTACAATGACACAAAGAACCAAGTTAGAGCTTGACAATCTGATCCATCAAGTAGCCTCATACAGCAATTATAAGATGATGGGTCTTATTCTAACCTGGAAGGGGGCGGTGGGGTAGCCCAGTTGTCGCTCATCATGCTGAAGACCCGGGTTCGATTCCCACATTGGTACAATGTGTGAAGCCCATTTCTGGCATCCCCCGCCATGATATTGCTGGAATATTGCTAAAAGCAGCATAAAACCATACTCACTCAAACCTGGAAGCCCAGTGGGGTCCAAATAGAATGCAAAATGACACAAAAGGAAAGAGTGAGTGAATTTAGTTTTGACACCACTTTAGCAATATTCCAGCAATATCTGGGGACACACACAAGAAATATGCTTCGCACATTGTACCCATGTGAGGAATCAAACCTGGGTCTTCAGCATGATGAGCAAACACTTTAACCACTAGGCTACCCCACCACCCCCAAAAAGAAGAGAAAATGTTCACCTGTTTAACAGCATCAAGGAGTCGAGTAAGGAGATTCTGTCTTTCAGTGAAATGACAATCATCACCTGCAACATTGAAATATATTCCTACTGAAGTCAATATAACTATAAGTTAAGGGCTATATAACATGGTAAATCACACCCTTTCAGCCACAGCAACTCCGAAATACATGCATAACACCTTGGATACCAAAAACAAGCACCACACTGTCACCTTGTCTGCAAGTCCATGTAACACGAAAACAAAATAAACTGCACAAAAATAGTTAGGGATATACGTAAATTTTGAAATTATGAATATTATTATGAAATTTATTCATTGACACACTGATACAATATCAATAATACAAATAACCAATATCCCTAACTTATTTTGTCCCATATATATCAGTGCTATCTGTTCCTGGATTCCCAATTCTCGGGTTTATTTTTACTGAACTACAGTAATGTTTTCCACAACCATAATATTTTCCGCACTGAGGATACTGCAGAGCATGGGATCTGATATTGTAATTGTACATGCTCCAGCATGACTCAGTGATTCTTGCAACAAGCTCTAGAATGTGTTAGGGTAAACAAAATCAATATCATTAACAGGGAAAATGAGATTTGTCACATTACATAACCTGGCACAGCTGTGAAGTAATCATCCTTGTTAGCAGGCATTATGAAACTCATGATGATCCGTTAGTGATTCCTTGATTAACATAATAACAAGTTGGCTGTAACACCTGAACTCTGATCCATGATCATGATGATTCCAACCTATCCAAAAAGTGCATATTTTATGATTTATTTTAGTAATGACTAAGTTTCTGTGTTACCATGGTTTACCCTAACTTCACTGACAAGTTTGATCCAAAACATCAAAATTTCCACTTAACTTTGACTAGCAGCAGCCTTATGTAGCTCTATACCTAATCAATTACTAGGTGTTTGAATACAAATGAAAGTTAAAATGTAAAAAAATCTAGTGGTGTAACCACACTCCTCTTAAGTTAAATATATGTACATATATTTAGAGATCATAGTTTACTGCTTGTATGCAGGCATCACACACGTACATGAACTCTACTGCAGTGAATAATGCATAAAAACACTACCTCCTCCCTTCAGGCCGCCGCTACAAAGTTCCAATTGTGAAAACTAAGAGAGCCCGTACATCTTTTATTCCAAGTACAATATCTCTCTTAAACAAATGTAAAGATACCTAAATCAATGAATTTATGTAAATATGTTTTGTATCTCTCTGATGTGTCAGTAGCTCTGCTGATGTAACACAAATTCCTGAAAACGCATTAAAGTATTATTCTATTCTATTCTATTCTAGCGTATTGATGGACATGTATCTCACAGTTGTCAGTTTATGCAACACATTGTTCATATTGGGCAGCATGCAAACAGAAACAAATTAAAAGTAACCTCTACAGCATTTCAAGCAGGATTATTTACAATAAACCCATCTATTTGTTGATGTATAATACCCAATACACTGGATTCAATGGAGTATTGTTATATTGATTACCCTACAGAAAAGCTATCAAACAACCAAGGTGAATGATAACATGTGAGTAAATATTCAACACCTAAAGTAATAATTGGGAGAGTTGATGAAACAGTCATGTTATCAGAATAACCATTAACACCTTAAACAGGAATTTATCATTTTCAGCTATTACCAAACCCAATAGGATCAGTTGTCTGTTGCTGACATCAATTTAATACTGCACATAATGTAGTTTTTTAAACTCTTCTGTGTCAAATAAAATTAGCTGATGATTTATCAAGCAATATCTGTAATTTTTGTTGTTGTGTACATTGCACAAAGTAAACTAATCAATATGCAAATAGCTCTTTATACTAAGAATAAGGAAACTACATGAGCACTAAACATAGACAATGGATCAAATAGCTTGTCTCTGGGTTAGTGTTACTGACCCAGACTGATACCATGATAACTGTAACATTCAACACTGATATTGTGATAACCTATAAATCATGTGATTGGCAATTCTTTACCACTAAGAGGATTTACATGTTTGATCAGAGTACAATATAATCCAGGCAACGGTTTAGATGTATGCCACCATAATCAAATTTTATATTACGTCTAAGAAATGTGAATATTATATTTTCTCTTTTGCACTCAATTTTATGACTGTTTGGAAAATGCATATAAACTCACATGAACAGGAACAAATGGCCTACATAGGTAGACAAGTAATTTCCTGTTAAGTAACAAGTGTCCAAAGTTAAATGTTTGTAATTGTTTATAAAGATGAAAACAGAATATCTGATATGCATGATTTATGATCCGTCAGGTACTAGCAGACAGCTATTCACCGGCAAATATCGTACACAGAATGATCTCAAATCATTACTCTCTCTTTAATTGCTCAGGCAAACTGCAGTGATTATCTGTAGATCGCATCAGTTTCGAGCATGAACTTACGCCTAAATACATTATACGATTAACGTTTTACATACCGCTCATGATCTTTCAAACCAAACAGCTGTCCGAGTGACAGTTCGTGTCATATTTATCTTTCAGTCGCTGTGTTTACACCCTCATTTCTACTCCTCAAAAACAACTCGGGAACCTCCGACTTTGGCAGGTGCTCGGAGATCACATGACTCGAACTTCCGGTAGAATAGAGTTCTTTCCCTTCGAAGGTAGGCCGACATGTTAGTTCTGGCTGAAATTGTTGTGATTTTAAATCAATCAACATCTGAGTAATTGTAAACATTTGATTAACGACGTGAGAGAATTGTAAAGTTTAAACACCATAATTTGATATATACTCTTTATTATGCCTATATATATTAGTGTTTTCTTACATTTGCAGATTAAAGATGGGGCGACGACCAGCCCGTTGGTATGTATATAGATAACATGCTGGGAACTCTGAACCGAGATATTGCATTACTTTCTGCGTTTGTTGTTTGTCAGTCAAATGTAACGTTAGAGAAAATCGAAGAAGCGAGGCTTTAATAGTTATAGGTGTCAAAACATTTTCATTTTGATTCATCGGTTATAATTTTCTCAGAAAGTTCTGAAGTATTCTACCAAAATTAGCCATCATGATGATTTGGCACAATTCAGCACGTATAATATGAAAACATGAAACTTTATGGATAACACCCTCTGGGTTACTGGATCTAGCGACGTTTTGATTAAAATTTAAATCGTAATCTTCGGTTAAACAATTCATAGGAACTTTAAAAATTATTTTTATTTTCCCCATGTTGATATCTTCGGCTAGGTTAAAGGGCCACTGATCCAGAGCGATAATGGTTTCCAGCCAACAGTCTAATTACGAAACCTAGCTGCAAACTGGTCAGCCTCTGATCCCTCGACCGTGACGGACACGGGGACTGGGCTTCTGTCCACCCTGTCAGAATTTCTTCAACCTAATCAGTGGGACATTAGGAAGGGTGGATGCCCATCAGATGCCGTTGTTTGAAAATATCCCTGGTAGTTCTTGTCTGGTTGTATTAAAGTATCCCAGCAGTGTAGGCTTTTTCAGATTTTCAAATGTTTGGATGGTATAGTGACTGATCCAATTTGATCCTATTTCTGTGATTTTTACCTCAATATTTAATCATGTAAAAAAATATGATGTCTATTACGTATGCTGTGGTATCAAAAACACACATTTGATATATTGGAATCCATAAACTAAACAACCCCACTTTGCCATTGCAAAATAAATCTGAAATTTTACTTAGGTACATAGGTATATACAGTTTTTAACTAAGTACACAGTAAATGCTTATATATATTTCTTATGTAACAATGAAGTTCGTATCCTCAAAACAGTGTCTGCCCAGGATTTTTTTTTTCAGGCAATCAAACTTGCATGCAATACAGCGATTACTACTCTTGCTGTAACCCTTGTTTGGTGGTAAATCTACACGTTATTTGTCATCATTCAGATGATGGTCAGTTAATGAATTTATAACAGGTATAATTAGTGATAACACCAGTCAGATTACCGGACAAAGGTTCCCATTTGGCATTTCTTGTGTCTGGAGTAAATACTCATCATTATAAATTGAGGTCTGATGTGGCCAATGTATTACATCTTATGTAATATGCGCATGGAAGTGCAGTAAGAGGAATTATCAGCTGAGTTACAAAACAAACATCGATCAAAGGATTAACCGATAACATGCTGATTGATTAATTACTTTTATCCTGCACAGCGGATTTGTCAAAAGGTAGTGTTTATGTATGCAGATTTACTTATCTATACTGAATACACCCTGTCGTAAATTTTTTTTGTAAAAACGTCCTTCCTTCAAAGGATTAACCGCCAATACATTGATTGATTGCTCATTATTGGCTAACTAATTTACTTTTTTTATAGAATGGCGAACAATTAGTTGCCAGGTGTGCTATGTTGGGTGACCAATGGGACTATAGAACAATGTGAAAAACCTGAAACGATAGATCACTTTTTCGCATATTAGACTGTTAAAAGACACATGACATGGAACAGGATACTTTGTCAGCTGCAGATGAATGGCACCTCATTCCTTTATGTGGATATTGATAGATACATTCCCCGAACAAGGCGATAGCCTGATAATGTTGCTATAACTTTAGTCTGTTTTAATTTTAATATTTGCATTTTGTTTTTATTTATTTGTTATGGCATTCAACAGAATAATTTTTTTTGTCGGGAAGTGTAATGAGACAGACAACATATACTACGTCACACTCAGGGCGTGTGTGTGAAATATGATACACGTTGGCAATCTATAAAATGTCTAGATATGACAATCATGTTATAAATTCATTTTTATCAAAGTGAATATTTTTTTTATAAGAAAACAAATTATTCGTCAAAGTCTACATAATTTTACAACAAAATCAACATAAGATTATCAAGTAAAACAGATTTCATCTTTGTTGATCAGTCTAAACTTATACTATCATTTGCGCATGAGGGTGGCACAGCAGAGGTAACGAACCAGTCATGAATTCTGGGAGATCATCTGGGTACTCACTGGAGAAAAACAATAACAAAAGCAACAACCAGTCCACGGAAATTGCTCTGGATCAGTGGCCCTTTAAGATCAAGCTGTGTCTTTGTGTCTCCATGAAAAGTGTCAAGATGTTAACACAAGAATCTGTGCAAGTGATTAGTGGCTAAATAATAAGGAACAGGTTTTGTTTTTATTATTATGCCAGTTATAATACCCTGAATAAGTAGATCACAGACCTTTTGCAGGCTTGCCTTTCCTGGATGTGGTGACATGCAGTATTACTGCTTGACCACAATTCTGATTTATGTGACTGTCCATATGTATTAATTGTCATTGACATCAGCTGAAACTATCTCCATAGCCACCCCACATTTGCATTACATGATGTATATTCATAGGCCTACTGCAAGATGTTATTTGTTTGTGTAAAATTCAATTTTCTTTTTCTGTAATTAATTTTAGCATGCAGACAGGTATTTTGCTTTCAACAAGTGAATTCTTGTTTCAGCTACCGCTACTGTAAAAACAAGCCCTATCCTAAGTCACGGTTTTGCCGTGGTGTCCCAGGTAAGGAAAACATCTTTGACTGAAATTTATTGAAGGAATCATTCATGTTTGATAATTTGTTTTTATACCCACTGTTCTATTGTATTTAATGACACTACCAGATGATGGTGCGACGAGGTATTAGGGTATCTCCTTATGATACATTTCCAATAAAAAATATACTCGTATACAAGTAACCATCTGTTTCCTCAGGATAGAATTTTAAGCAGTTATGTACTTGTACAAGGGGTTCACCATAGGCGGTTGGGTAGCCTAGTGTTACTCGGTTTCGATTCACCATATAGGTAAAATGTATGAAGCCCATTTGCTGGAGTATTGGTTAAAGTAGCGTAAAATACTGTGTTAAACAGCATATTATTTGTGTAGCACAGTGGATGCATTGATGATGAACATCAACTGACAACCCAAAGATTGTTTATAGATCAGAATACTACTACCGTTGCTAAACCTACCAATAAAAAATTATCAACTTTTTTCAGATCCAAAGATCCGAATCTTTGATTTGGGCAGGAAGAAGGCTCGCGTTGATGAGTTCCCTCTCTGCATCCACTTGATCTCCGATGAGTATGAACAGCTGTCATCGGAAGCTCTGGAGGCTGGACGTATCTGCGCCAACAAGTACCTTGTAAAGGTCTGCGGCAAGGATTCTTTCCACTTACGAGTGCGCTTACATCCCTTCCACGTCATCCGAATCAACAAGATGTTGTCATGTGCCGGTGCTGATCGGTGAGTAATAGCTGTGGACATTGCAGTAGCCCGAGGTTTAAACATTTACTTGTCACTTAAATTCTATTAGTCTGGGTTTGCTTTATCACATGGTACAAGTGTGAAGTCATTCTTGTGTGTCCCATACTGTGATGTTGCCAGAAGATATGAAAACCAATTCATTTGCTACTTTTGCATTGTTTTGGTGTTTCCAGATTAGAATTGGTCTTCAGGAACCCATACTTGTTGTAAGAGGCGACTAATGTGGTCAGGCACCCAATTATTGCTTAGGTCGATGCTCATGCTGTTGATCACTGGATTGTCTGGTCCAGACTCAGTTATTTACGGATGACCATGTAGCTGGTATATTGCTGGGTGCAGCGTTCAACAAAAACTAACCAAGTATACCTGACTACCATTCCGTGGGCAAGTCAGCCTTTATAGTTACATTAATATTTTGCCAATATTGGTGGTCGATTACATTTAACTGATTTATTGTTGAAATATTCTGCATACCACCATTTCAAAAGTAGGAAATGTGAATTATGCAGTTGTAATAAGGCAATTACATGGAAGTAAACCTTCCATGTAATTGCCTTATTACAACTGCATAATTCACATGCACACTGCACATAAACATTGAAATTAAATATTTGAAGATTAGATTACCCCCAAATGGGTAAATAATATCCATGGAAGTAAGATCTTAGAGTGACCCTTGGTTGGATGGTGTAAAATATTAAAATTTCAGCAGTCTGGGATTGTCCCCCTAATATTCATTGTCAGTTTTCTATTTTGAGGTGAATGTTTTGAATTTGTTCTGCTTACTGTGAAGATTTTCTGTGATGAGGACCATAAAACTCCTAAATTTAGTCTCTTAAAAGCAATATGTACAGTGTTTGTTTTGATTTGGAAATTCCACCTCTTGCATTTATTATCCCCGCAACGAGTTTAGCGGGGGGTATTAAAATGGACTCCGTCCGTGCGGCGTGCGTCCGTCCGTCTGTCCGTGCACATTTGTCTTTTCCGGAGCAGTACTCTAAAACCGTTCAATATTTCTTCACCAAACTTGGCACATAGATAGATCTGGTGGTGTACTGGTGCCTTTTGGTAGTTTTGGAATTCTGAATAAAACATTGACTACTGAACTCTAAAACCGTTCACTATTTCTTCACCAAACTTGGCACATAGATAGATCTGGTGGTGTACTGGTGCCTTTTGGTAGTTTTGGATTTCTGAATAAAATATGTTTGGCATTTCCATAGCAACAAGTTTGACTTAGCCTGAAATTGGTGGTTGTGCTCTTTTCCGGAGTAGAACTCTAAAACCGTTCAATATTTCTTCACCAAACTTGGCACATACATAGATCTGGTGGTGTACTGGTGCCTCTTGGTAGTTTTTGATTTCTGAATAAAATAATTTTGGCATTTCCATGGCAACAAGTTTGACATAGACTGAAATTGGTGATAGTGCTCCTTTCTGGAGCACAACTTTAAAAACCTTTCAATACTCTCCTTCCACTTTTCTATATACACACCTAAATATTTGACATAATCATAACTCGTAGACATAATCATGAAGAGTATTTTGCCATTGCGGGGGATATTGATGACTTTGTCTTCTTGTTTAAAACAAAATGGCAGTACCCCGTCAAGCCTATTTTATCAATAGTCAAGGTATTGCATTGCAGAGATCATGTGAGCGCCTTGATTAAGAAGGTTTTGGCTTGTATGGGTCATTTGGCCCCACTTTCAAATATCTTAAATGAACACCGGACTTGCATTACTGATATTATTGAAAAAACATGTTTTGTAATTCACAAAAAAAGGCTTCAAATGTGACTGATCAGCTGTAATTTTATTACAGTTATTTTTAATGATATGATTGCAATTATTCTATTTCAGACTTCAGACCGGTATGCGTGGAGCTTGGGGTAAACCACAAGGAACTGTGGCCCGTGTCAACATTGGACAGCCAATCATGTCAGTCCGCTCCAGAGAGCAGAACGAGGCTGCTGTGATTGAGGCCCTCAGGAGAGCTAAGTTCAAGTACCCAGGCAGACAGAAGGTGAGTCTTGCAACACTCACAGCCATCGTTTCTCTTTTGGTAGTGTTGGGAAAACATCTGGAATTTCAGTAATCATTAGGAAGGAAAATAGATTGATCTTCAAGGAATTATCAGTGAATTTGTCATACACTTTGCAATAAGGACCCTTGAAATACAGGGGGCCTCCAGACCTGAAGTTTTGTAGGAGGAGGTAACGCTATGGTAGTGGTAACTTGTGAACCATTGACAGCATTTTTCTATTAAACAGATCAGATGTGACAGTGACATTTTCATTAAACTAATGGTGTAATTTCTGTGTTACAGATCGTGATGTCCAAGAAGTGGGGATTCACCAAGTGGCCCAGAGACTGCTACGAGGATATGTGCTCTGATGGAGGCCTGATTGCTGATGGCGTTGTTGTGCAGTACAGACCCAACAAGGGACCTCTGAACAAGTGGAGGAAGGACCAGACTAACATCAGGGCCTAGACACTGTAGGAACAGACATGGTCATGTGAATAAAGAGCTGGAGAAATATCACCTGTTGGTCTTTTGTTAATGAGCCATGGCTTTATCTTGACCTCAGAGGCAGTGATTCACTCAAGTCATGTGGGTAAAAGTTCCCTGGTTGTAATTTGAAAAAAAACATTTACCAAATATTTTTTCATACACATGAAAAAAAACATGCTCTTTTTGGCTTTAAGATCACATGTACTTTACTTGTAATAGCACCTACCAATAACGAGGATACGTAAGGTGATTGCATTCAATATCTAACCTGACAGGTCGTGTGTCACCTACCTTGACAGTGTGGATCATGTCTATGAACCACTAGAACATTTTACCAGAGGTGGTGATTCTAGGTTAGAATTAGTTACACAGCATCTTGTGCTGTTAGCAAAAGCTGACTTCACTGTGTGGTTGGTCAGGGTCGATGACTTGGTTAATGTACCGAAACTCTGGATTATGGCTTTAAATATCAGTCACTGGAGTATCTGCTCCAGATTACAAGTTCGTGTAGTATACCAGTGAGTTTCGTTTTACTCTGCACTCGCAATATTCCAGCTATATGGCGGTGGGCTGTAAATAACCAAGTCTGGACCAGACAATCCAGTGATCAACAGCATGAGCATTGATCTGCGCAATTGGGAACCCATGACGTGTGTCAACCAAGTCAGCAAGTCTGACCACTCATCCCGTTAGTCGCCTCTTACCACAAGCATGGGTTACTGAAGATCAATATTCTAACCCGGACCTTCACGGGTTCTAGGTAACTGTGATATAACCACAGGGGTCGCCTCTTGGGATGTAATATACCAAGAGCAGTACCTACTGGGGTGTTCAAGGATTCAAGTTGTGATTGATGGGGCTTTGAAATTGTACTGAACAAAACTGTTAAGCATTGTGAATATTGTAAAGGAGGAAAGGAGATGTATTTTGTAGTTAAGACAAACCTATTTCTAATCGGGTGAAAATGTTTCTTGAACCAGTCAGTTCATTTACCTGTCCAGGACATCCCTGGGGATAGTTTTGATCTCAAGCTGTCTGAAGTAATCTCAGCAGATGCAAGAGTGAAGGACAGCTGGCAAAATCAACTCGACCATTCTGAATGGTCACATAGTAGAAAACCATCTGTTCATTTTTCTGCTTTCCATCTGTTCATTTACCTTTGCTTGCACAAACCTGTTAATTATGGGCTGTCTGCCAATGGATACGCGTGTGGTCGGATTCTTCGAAGCTTTCATAAAATCTCTACAATTTAGCGATAACTGTAAGCGTTTTATAGGTTGGAAGAACCTGAAGATATGAGCTCTGAATGTCTACCGTGTTTGTCGCGATGTTGTACTTCTAGCCTCTTTAGCTGGTCGATAGCTGGATACCAATGCTGGATATATATTACACGTGCATCGGACTCGACAGCTAGCCTCACGTGTTGAGAAAACCGTCTGAATAATACAGCAGTCAAATCCGAGGTTCCAGCCACAGGTTCCAGGCAGTTTTTAGCGTTACAAGCCCCTGTGGTTCCAGCCAGGATCCCATAACAAAACTCGATCATAGCACCACTAGATCACATTCATACTTCTATTCCATAGGATTTAACCTCACGTCTGTTATATGGCAATTTCATGGAAAACGCAAACGTAACCAGCTGAAAACATCTTGGCATCATGTTCATGATGCCATTAAACATAGACAAAGATTGAACATTCATCACTATAAAAAAAATAGTCCGTTTGGCTCAAAAGCGGACCGATGAATTGCAATCTAACTCGAAAACTAATAAACATAAAATACTCAATGAAACGCTGATCATAATCAAAACATCATACCAACTCTGAGTTTTTTGCAGAATTGTTGTCCTAAAATAATAAAGTTGTTTAACAAACTATCATTAAAATATTGACACAGTTCACTGTTTGTTACGGGGGAGGAGTGCAGAGAAAGGGACAGCCTGGTGTTCGAGAAGCACGTTCACAGGCAAAGTTATTTATTCATTAACCTGTGCTGTGCCGTCTCCATCTTTTCTCGAACACCTGGCTGTCCCTTTCTCTGCACTCCTCCCTTCTAACAAATAGTGAACTGTGTCAATATTTTAATGATAGATTTCACAGAGTTGGTATGATGTTTTGATTATGATCAGCGTTTCATTGAGTATATGTTATGTTTATTAGTTTTCGAGTTAGTTTGCAATTCATCGGTCCGCTTTTGAGCCAAAGGGACTAGTTTTATAAAATGTTTACGAGCAAGTAGCTCATTCCTCGTACCCGAACACACCTCCATCAAGTACACTGTATTATATACCTTCTATTGCTATCTTGATTGTTTTATTTTTCATTTGTGTTTTGTGTACTGCAGGAGCAGTATTAGACTAACAACTAGTCTCTGAAATGAACATATTTTACTGAAAAAAGTTCATAGTAAAAGAAAATATATATAATGAAAAGGAGCCCTGAGACTTTCTTCATTTTCAGAAGCTGAGGAAATCTAGACTTGCCACATTTTCTAGACTTGTGTGGGCTTTCTTGGATATATTTGCTTCAGGGTCTGTACGAGAGACTAGAGCATTATATATATAGTCGTAAGGCTTGTTTACTAGTTCAGTCCGTGTATAAGTACGGAAATAAATATGTTTGAACCAACACGGCTCAATAAGCATGATACGCCATTAGGAACCATATTCCTTATCAAAATAGGCATCTTTGGTACGTCTTTGGTGAATTTCTGAAGATCATTTTACACGCTATTTTGATCATCCCGCCCTGCATGGGTGTAAATATGGCGTGAGGAAGTAGTCACATCCATGTCATCATATACCGGTCAGAGTGAGTGAGTGAGTTTAGTCTTACGCCACATTCAGCAATATTTCATCTATATGGCGGCGGTCTGTAAATAATCGAGTCTGGATCAGGCAATGCAGTGATCAACAGCATGAGCATCGATCTGCGCAGTTGGGAACCGATGACATGTGTCAACCAAGTCAGCGAGCCTGACCACCCGATCCCGTTAGTCGCCTCTTACGACAAGCATGGGTTACTGAAGATCAATATTCTAACCCGACCCTTCACGTGTCATACCGGACAGACGTTCCGATCCAAACTAAATTAAAGAATCAAAACCGCCTTCTAGAAACCAGAGATACAAGCAACCGTTTGGGCAACACGATGTGTCGATAACCTCAAAATCATCTAAACAAATACTAAAGGAAACCAGTCTAAGGATCAAGGCATCTTGTCAAGCCAAGTATATACCAAACGGCGCTATGAACTTAACGAATACAACAGTGCATTGTCGTACTAATCTGCCCTTTGTCATTTCGCCAAGCTTCAAATACTGTTTTTACAATGTCACCACTGGCTTCCCCGTCTTGGTAATGGTGTCTCAATGTTGCCTTTCTACATCAATCCCGTCGAGAGTTGATATTACACTACATGTACTTAGCAAATATAAACTAACAACACTCATCATCATCATCATCATCTCAAGCTTAACGTCGGCTTCAGGCATTAGCTATTGAAAAAATGTAATATCTACGTAAGTAGAGAATACTAAACGATGGCACGTGTAATACCATATTTATGAACCAAGTGGATGGTTTAGTATCGAGCGAGCGAAAGCGAGTTAGAAACCAATACCACCGAGTTACGAGTTTCATAAATATTGTATTACACGAGGCATCGTTCAGTATTTTATTTATTACTCACTCACCATTAGCAAAATAATATCTCAGAATTCAACTTACAGAACCAGTGCATTACGCCGTCACAACACGGGTTACGCAATGAAGAGAGTGAATAAAACATGATATAATATAATCCGAGAATAAGAAATGAGAGTAAAAATGAAATGATTTAGGAGAATTAACATCAAAGTATGTGGCTTTGTATTAAAATCAGAGACTCTTGTTCACACGATGGACCTGGGGCTTTCTGTTTCAGGAGATACTGATTGGTTGATTTGTGTCACGTTATGTGACGAGTGATCTCTCTTCACTGACAGGACACGCTGATTGGTTGATTTATGCCAAGTTAGAATGGACACTCAAAGGCCGGGGACACTGATTGGTTGATTTTGATGACAAGCTGAAAACAAACACCGATTGGATGATGTCTTTGACCGTTGAATCGGGTACTCACTGGTCGATTTCGATGACGAGCAGAAGGCCAACATAAAACGTAGTACAGAAATTCGCAACAATTTTCATTACTGAAATAATGAAGGATCAATGCATTATTATAAAAAGGCTATCTGTGCATATATCTGTCTTTATCAAACATTTTCGTAGTGTGTTCATATATTTTATATTTTTGTATACAATTCTAATGTCTTAGTGTCATGAAAAAAAAACTGCAAATTCAGCATGAACATTGTTGAAGCAGAATGAACGTAGCCCATAGATGGCGATAACATTTTGAATTTTGATTCAATGCATTCACGCATTGTTCAGACAATGCACTTGACGCATGTTATTTGGATAAATATTCAGGAAGATGAACTTTATATTGTCACTACCACTTCAGTATAAATGCAAGCAGATTAAACAAAATTTTCAAAATATTTTGATATAGATATAGGGAAAGTTTAACTGGTTTCAACAATATCTCTTCAAAAACGGATGAGTTTCAATAACTGTCCATCTTCTCCATACAAATACACCTATCTCATACCAACACACAGTGGATTATAAAATGTTTCACATCAGTGAGTGAATTTAGTTTAACGCCGCCAGAAATGGGCTTCACACAATGTGGGGAATCGAACCCGGGGCTTCGGCGTAACGAGCCAACGCTTTAATCACTAGGCTACCCCATCGCTCCTTCACATGATATACATATAAAAATACAAACCTAAAAATAGTGACTTTATATATTCCGCTTGTGCAACTGTATATTACGTTTAGCACCATCTTGTAAAACGTATACATGTACTAACCAGTTGTGTTAACTTTTTACCTGGAGAGGTATTTAAACAAGCAAGCTTTGCGTTTTACCAATTAGATTTCTTCAAAATATAAATATGTTTCAACCACATGTAAATAC